ACCAACTGAAGACAAATCAAGACCCTCTACTCCGATCATAAAACCATCAAATTTCAACCCCCCGCCATCAACGTCGTCAGCAAGTTAACAGCAAGCTGGATGAGATGTTGCGTAAGCAAAGTAGCAATTTTAGAGCTTTTAAGCGAACGTTAGCAAACATTGACTTGGATTTGTTAACCGATAACTGGGAATTAGAAGATGCTCTGAAGACCTTGAGTGTTAGATGGAACCGTATCGACTCCCTTCATTGGGAGCTCGACAGCGAGCTGGAGGGTACTAACGTAGCATACGAACAAGAATTTTCCGTCCATGAGAGAAGCTTTAGTGACATAAAGAAGGCAATCAACAAGAAAATATGGTCAACAGCTCATCAGGAACAATTTACACCAAAGCTTGATATTCCTATCTTCAACATACAATCAGATTTTCAAAAAATACCTTACACAACTTACCGTTCGAAACAAATGGAAGCAGTCGACATCTAACATTCAAGTCGGTCAATTGGTGACAATTCAAGAAGATAACTTACCTGCTGGAAAATGGTTGACAGGTCGAGTTATACATTTACACCCAGGAAAAGATGGTTTCGTTCGAGTTGTCTCCTTGAAAACAAAAAACGGAATTTTAAAACGGCCAGTTACCAAATTATCCATACTGCCACTGCGAGGAAACCAGGAACCTGAACTCAGAAAACACCAGATAACAGCTAAAACAAGTCTGCTGTCAATTTGTGCTGCATTGCTATTTTTCTTGAGTATAATCATACCTACGCAGGGTGCTTATACTATTCAGCAACTTAATCAATCTTTGTATTTCGACGCTATTTCCAACATCCAACTTATTCGAGACAACTGGAAGCTCATAATTTACTACAACATGCAACCATTTTGGGAAGGCTCCGAAGCACTTGACAAATATCAAAAACACATGGAAAACATATGTAAAACAATGAAGGGTGACGGTCATTGTGATGCGATGCTATTGCAGTTACGTCATAGTACCAGTGAACTCGAGTACTACAACCGCATGTTGCTAGGTAAACAAACCGAGCACGACAGACAGAAACGAGGGCTTATCAATGGTGTCGGGTATATCGCGAATAGTCTCTTCGGAGTACTCGACGACCATTTCGCAGAAAAGTATGAGCGAGATATCACACTCGTCAGACAGAATGAACATCATTTGGCTTCCCTGTTCAAGAATCAAACGTCTATTATCGAAGCGGAATACAACATGATGAAAAGAATGGAAGAAGTTATGAGAAAACAACACAAGATTATCAACAAACAGATTAGTGCTTTAGACAGCAACATAAACAAAGTAAAAACAGAATTGGAAAAACTTTATAACATCAACCAATTTTTGGCTATGTCTGTCATAGCGAATAATTTACTGCTGAATTTGAAAAGCATACAAAACATGATGACAGACGCTATCACCGATATATATCATGGAAGGTTCGATGTTCATCTCATAAGCCCTACTCAGTTGAGAAATGAACTGAACACAATATCTGGACAAATACCTAAAGACTTGACTCTACCTATATCAAACATACAATCAGATTTTCAAAAAATATATCAGTTTCTTCAAGTGAAAACAAAGATGACTAATAAGTACTTGATTTTTGAAATCAGATTACCATTGGTCAGCCGAGATAATTACAACCTATACAGAGTTATACCGATTCCTCATAAACGGACCAACAATTTTGTGAACATTAAACCGATTGCAGATTACATTGCAATTAATTTAGAAAAGGATATCTACATCCCAATGACATCTATCGATTTACAAGAGTGTATTATGTACGATTTTTCAGCACATTTATGCCACCTCAAACACCCCATATACCAAAGAAATTCAGATGAAGATCTGTGTTTGAAGAATAATTACACAAATCAGTGCCAAATAAACATCGCTGGGTGCAGTAACATGTTTATTCAATTAAATAAAGCGAACAATTACTTATTTACAACGTGCGACAAATGCAACGTAAGAATTTTTTGCGGTGATCAAGTTACCGTGGAACGGCTGAGAGACGCCGGGGTCATTGTGCTGGAACCCGGTTGCTCAATCAAAAGTGAAGAATTATCAATCTATACGCACAAAATATTTACGAGTGAATTGAAAACCGGACCTGAAATTTATACGCCTGAAATCGCTGCTATTAACCAAATTATCAAGCTCTCTATCCCAGAAACAGGAGAGTTGGAAAAAGACGCTAACAGTTTCCAAGCCAACCTAACCACCTTGAACGAAAACATCAAACACCTAAAATCCCAAAATGTGATCGCTGAAAACATAACATTCCATGACATACATCATTACGTCGCGATTTACATCCTGGTGGGAGTGGCTGTGATAGCTGCTATATGCCTTGCCTGCAAACGACTACGACAAAGAAGAAACACGGCTATCACTTCAAGTATTAGCCTCGATAACATAACCACGGAAGGTCTAAGCTCCGCTCCTGTGGCTGCGCTGGCCGCCCCGAGAGCGCAGCGCGCCGCTGCAGTGCCCGCCCCGAGAACGCAACCCGTCGCCGCCAGCACCGAGCGTGCGTCCTCACCCGCGGTCCCGAACCCCGAGAGCGCAGCGCGCCGCTGCAGTGCCCGCCCCGAGAACGCAACCCGTCGCCGCCAGCACCGCGACGCGCGAGCGTGCGTCCTCACCCGCGGTCCCGAACCCCGAGAGCGCAGCGCGCCGCTGCAGTGCCCGCCCCGAGAACGCAACCCGTCGCCGCCAGCACCGCGACGCGCGAGCGTGCGTCCTCACCCGCGGTCCCGAACCCCGAGAGCGCAGCGCGCCGCTGCAGTGCCCGCCCCGAGAACGCAACCCGTCGCCGCCAGCACCGCGACGCGCGAGCGTGCGTCCTCACCCGCGGTCCCGAACCCCGAGAGCGCAGCGCGCCGCTGCAGTGCCCGCCCCGAGAACGCAACCCGTCGCCGCCAGCACCGCGACGCGCGAGCGTGCGTCCTCACCCGCGGTCCCGAACCCCGAGAGCGCAGCGCGCCGCTGCAGTGCCCGCCCCGAGAACGCAACCCGTCGCCGCCAGCACCGCGACGCGCGAGCGTGCGTCCTCACCCGCGGTCCCGAACCCCGAGAGCGCAGCGCGCCGCTGCAGTGCCCGCCCCGAGAACGCAACCCGTCGCCGCCAGCACCGAGCGTGCGTCCTCACCCGCGGTCCCGAACCCCGAGAGCGCAGCGCGCCGCTGCAGTGCCCGCCCCGAGAACGCAACCCGTCGCCGCCAGCACCGCGACGCGCGAGCGTGCGTCCTCACCCGCGGTCCCGAACCCCGAGAGCGCAGCGCGCCGCTGCAGTGCCCGCCCCGAGAACGCAACCCGTCGCCGCCAGCACCGCGACGCGCGAGCGTGCGTCCTCACCCGCGGTCCCGAACCCCGAGAGCGCAGCGCGCCGCTGCAGTGCCCGCCCCGAGAACGCAACCCGTCGCCGCCAGCACCGCGACGCGCGAGCGTGCGTCCTCACCCGCGGTCCCGAACCCCGAGAGCGCAGCGCGCCGCTGCAGTGCCCGCCCCGAGAACGCAACCCGTCGCCGCCAGCACCGCGACGCGCGAGCGTGCGTCCTCACCCGCGGTCCCGAACCCCGAGAGCGCAGCGCGCCGCTGCAGTGCCCGCCCCGAGAACGCAACCCGTCGCCGCCAGCACCGCGACGCGCGAGCGTGCGTCCTCACCCGCGGTCCCGAACCCCGAGAGCGCAGCGCGCCGCTGCAGTGCCCGCCCCGAGAACGCAACCCGTCGCCGCCAGCACCGCGACGCGCGAGCGTGCGTCCTCACCCGCGGTCCCGAACCCCGAGAGCGCAGCGCGCCGCTGCAGTGCCCGCCCCGAGAACGCAACCCGTCGCCGCCAGCACCGCGACGCGCGAGCGTGCGTCCTCACCCGCGGTCCCGAACCCCGAGAGCGCAGCGCGCCGCTGCAGTGCCCGCCCCGAGAACGCAACCCGTCGCCGCCAGCACCGCGACGCGCGAGCGTGCGTCCTCACCCGCGGTCCCGAACCCCGAGAGCGCAGCGCGCCGCTGCAGTGCCCGCCCCGAGAACGCAACCCGTCGCCGCCAGCACCGCGACGCGCGAGCGTGCGTCCTCACCCGCGGTCCCGAACCCCGAGAGCGCAGCGCGCCGCTGCAGTGCCCGCCCCGAGAACGCAACCCGTCGCCGCCAGCACCGCGACGCGCGAGCGTGCGTCCTCACCCGCGGTCCCGAACGCGTTCAACACTCAACACCGACCAACATCTCCTATATTGCGAACTCTCATTCTTAAACGCGATGAACAATAATTTTATACCTAACTTTTCTCAAATAATTTTACTTTTTTATGTATTTTTAGTTTATCTCCCTTGTTGTGCGGGAAGATGTTCAGTTTACACCGAACACATTATGTACGCGTAGGCATTTTACTTTAAAGTTTTTATTTAAGTCAGTACATGTACGGACGCCAACATTGTCTCGTGTGTGCTCACATACATAACATTTATAAACATATAACATTTATAAACATTGTAACAATAATATTATAACAATATAATAAACATTTTGTGCATAAACAGTATTTTAAGTAACATTTACATCAAAAGGTGTTGAATACCACAACAATTACAGTAGAGTAGCTTGGCGTCCTCTCATAGATTTACTTTTCCTAAGGAAATCCCGCCTCTTAAATGTAGTGATTATATTGTCTTTGGGTAAACATATAAGAGGCGATGCAGCATTGTAAAAAAAGAAAGAAATAAATATATATCCTACCAAATTATAAGTAAGAAAATATTTTTATTAAACGGTTTTTAGTCCACGGTTGGAGATTGAACTTTCTAATAATGTGCCAGCCGACGTGTTTTCGAAAGTTATGTCTGTCCCCACCATACTGGGCAGGTGGGTCGGTGAGCGCAGATTCGATTGGAACGTATTCTGCCGACTACGCGATTTGTCCATGTCCTTGGACTTTCGAACTTGGTGATGATAATAGCAATTTAATGTTCTTACCGGCAAGCCTCCACCAGGTCAGCGTAGCACCGCTCCTCGATCCTCTTGATGAGGGCGTTTATTGAGGTGTTGTCCACTCCAGAGCTGGACGCCACGGGCGCCACCAGGCTGGACTTGCGCTCGTTCTTCATCGGGAACACTATGCGGAGACCCCCCGACATCAGTCTACAACAATTGATTTCATTAAAAAAAAACTTCCAACTACGATACTATCAGATTTGATGAAAATGAATATGCCGTCTAATATAAATTATAATTAAGAGATTTTTTTATAATTTCACAACTACGACGAATCTAACGACATACCATATTATGTCAAATCCATTTAGCCATTTAGGCTACAGAACATGCCGAAGAAATAAACATACATACATACACTCGATCAAGAAAACTTACTTCGTTCTATTACTGTAATTGTCAATTAACTTTGACAATGTTCCGACTAACCATTACGTTAAACGTCCACTGCTGAACATAGGAGGCCTCCCCAAAAATTGATTTATAGGGGGTTATTTGCCTTAGTTGCAACGCAGCTGTTTTCCAGCTGTTATCAGAACGACGCTGCGGGCTACCTCTTGGCTTAGTTTCCTTCTGTCGCCTCTTATGACACCTATAGGGTGATAGTGGATATTGGTGATAGCGGATATAGTGGATATTCTTACACCGCCAATACACGGTTAATTTTGCGAATAATCGTCAACATTCATCCATCCATTACAGCCCCTAAAAGTCCACTGCTGAACATAGGCCTCCCAAATAGTTTTGCCATAGTTATCACGCTTGGCAAGCGGGTTGGCAACCACAGTTTTTATAATTTTTAGTTGTTATCATTTTCCTGATAACAACTAAAAATTATGCCGCCCATTTCCTGTTTCAGTTTTAGTCTTAGTTTTTTTTTATAGGATAGGGTGACAAACGAGCACACAGTCCACCTGATGCTAAGTGGTTGCTGTGGCCCATAGACATTAGACATCTACATCTATCCTCGTTTGCGGATCAAAATGCAGATGCGTTGTCACCCGTGAGGACTAAGATGGAATGCCTGTTTTCCAGTAAAAAAGGTCTCCGGTTCTCTACACTCACCATACGACACACAGCAGTGTCAAGCTGCTATTTTACATTTTTCTGTGAGAGCGTGGTATGTATGGTGGTAATGTATTTGTTGCCCCCTGTCGAGTCTTACAGCACTCATGAAGTGATATGGGGTAGTGGATATTCTTACACTGCTACTACACGGTTAATTTTGCGAATACTCGTCAATATTAATTATAACTAACTTGTCAACGTTGGGTCCGAGCTGCAGATATGCGGTGGCGATGTCGTTGTTGACGACGAGGCGCTCCCCCAGAATCCCACGCACCACTAGCTGCCTCAACAGCCGCTGGGCACCACCACGCTCCCAAGACTTGCATCTGATTGGGGACAAAGAAAAACCATCACTATCTTCTTTTCTCGTCACTTAGATCGAGAAATTAACAATCATATACTGAACCATAGTGGAAGGCATAAAGATGCAATATAGAGATCATCACTATCACATTACAATATATATGTTACACTTGCGCCACTGTCACACTTGCCTCGTGTTGCAATAGAGCTAGCAATAAAGGTTACTCCGAACCAGAAAATAATAAATTCAACATGCAAATGTTCGGTTATTTTTTAAAAAAAGTATTTAAATACAAACAATGCAAAAATACGTATTTTCAAAATAGGTTTTTCAAATAAACTACCTTATTTCACTGATTTTAATATTAATTACTGTTTAAAGAGTTCATCTTTCATATTCCGTCTATGTGGCCGCATAATGATTCCACCGAACGAAAATAGCCGTTCAACAGGTGCAGAACTTGGTAAGCTAGTACTTATATTTAAGGAAAAATGTTTGAATGTCACTGCGCCACGGAGCCGTCACGGAATGACGGCTCCGAGGCGCAGTGGCTTACCAATCAGTTGTTGCGCTGGGTGCGGTGGGGACCGCGGGTTCGAATCCCGCACGGAACAAGTATTTGTATGGCCTACAAATAATTGTTCCGGGTCTGGATGTTTGTCCTTGTGCAATTTATGTTTGTAAACTGCCTCCACGACACAGGAGAAAATCCTAATGTCGGGGTAACGTTTATTAAAAAAAAAATGTGTATATAAGTATGACTTTTTTTTCTTTCTTCTAGCGCGGCGCGACGATGACATAATTTTGTCGACATTTCGGGAGATTTTCAGCATCCATGGCCATAAGGTGACTGGGTGCTGCAAACCAACCGAAACATCGGGAGTTAAAATAATTATAACTAAGCGAGATAAAATCAGGTGGTCTGTGGATGTGGACCTCCATTTAAAGAATTTAGGACGTGGGTCTAAAATTCTACAATATGGGGTTGGTGATCACGTCCAGCGGTGGGGTTGGGGGTCACGCCAAGCGGTGGGGTTGGGGTCACGTCCAGCGGTGGGGTGGGGTTCACATCCAGCGCTGGGTATGGGGTGTCATGTCCAGCACTGATGTTGGGGTCACATCCAGCGGTAGGGTGGGGGTCACGCACAGCTTTGGATATGGGGGGAGGTATCACATCCAGAGCTGTGGTGGGGGTTACGTCAAGCGGTAAGAAGGGCGTCACGTCCAGCGCTGGGGGTAGGGTTCGTGGGGGTCACGTCAAGCCTTGCAAGGGCTAGGGTGGAGGTAGCGTTAAGCATATGCAGGGGTGGGGGGGTCATATCATGGGTATACAAGGGTGGGGCAATGTCAAGCGTATTCAGGGGTGGGGTTACGTCAAGCAAATCCAGGGGTGGTAATCAAGTCAAGCGTATCCAGGTGTGGGGGTCGCGTCAAGCGTATCCAGGAGTGGGGGTCATGTAGAGCGTATCCAGGGGTGGGGGTTACGTCAAGCGTATCCATGAGTGGGGGTCACGCAGAGCGTATCTAGGGGTGGGGGTCACGCAGAGCGTATCCAGGGGTGGGGGTCACGTAGAGCGTATCCAGGGTTGGAGCGCTGACCTGCCGTGCACGGGCGCGTCGCGCAGGCCGGCCAGGCGCTGCTGGTTGGAGCCGCGCAGCACGTCGGCCAGCTGCAGCAGCGTGAAGCCGCCGCGCGCGCCCAGGCTGCGCACGCACCGCACGATCAGCTTGCACTCCTCCGTCACGTCCACTGGCTGCGGTAACAGATAACCACTTCCCATTTGCTCACATAAACAAGGTTATTTTTCAAAGAATAGCCAAATTTTAAATATAATTTCAAATATATAAATCATGATAAACCGTTATTGCAGTTTTTGAAAATACGAGTAAATAAGTCTTCATAATTTTACTTGAAATTATCCCAAATTGAATGTGATTTATGGACAACAACGTGTTTGCCTACTGATCGACCCTTACGAATGTGTGCGTGTGCAGTAAAATCAGTTAAAATACTGCATTACCACGCGCCGGCACTGCGTCACGTGTCACGCGTCACGCGTCACGTGTCACGCGTCACGCGTCACGCGTCACGTGTCACGTACCGTGTAGTGGTGCGCGGCGAGGCAGTTGTCGCAGGCGGTGCGCGGGTCGCGCGCGCAGGCGTCGCGCAGGAAGCGCTCGCCGAGGTAGGCCAGCACCTGCGCGCGCCGGCACTGCGTCACGTGTCACGCGTCACGCGTCACGCGTCACGCGTCACGCGTCACGTGTCACGTACCGTGTAGTGGTGCGCGGCGAGGCAGTTGTCGCAGGCGGTGCGCGGGTCGCGCGCGCAGGCGTCGCGCAGGAAGCGCTCGCCGAGGTAGGCCAGCACCTGCGCGCGCCGGCACTGCGTCACGTGTCACGCGTCACGCGTCACGCGTCACGCGTCACGCGTCACGTGTCACGTACCGTGTAGTGGTGCGCGGCGAGGCAGTTGTCGCAGGCGGTGCGCGGGTCGCGCGCGCAGGCGTCGCGCAGGAAGCGCTCGCCGAGGTAGGCCAGCACCTGCGCGCGCCGGCACTGCGTCACGTGTCACGCGTCACGCGTCACGCGTCACGCGTCACGCGTCACGTGTCACGTACCGTGTAGTGGTGCGCGGCGAGGCAGTTGTCGCAGGCGGTGCGCGGGTCGCGCGCGCAGGCGTCGCGCAGGAAGCGCTCGCCGAGGTAGGCCAGCACCTGCGCGCGCCGGCACTGCGTCACGTGTCACGCGTCACGCGTCACGCGTCACGCGTCACGCGTCACGTGTCACGTACCGTGTAGTGGTGCGCGGCGAGGCAGTTGTCGCAGGCGGTGCGCGGGTCGCGCGCGCAGGCGTCGCGCAGGAAGCGCTCGCCGAGGTAGGCCAGCACCTGCGCGCGCCGGCACTCCGTCACACTCTCGCACACCTCCACCATTCGGAGCAGATTCTCAATGTGGACCCTCTTCACCTCCGTACTCGCGTTGCGTTCCACTGACAAATGAAGCGTTAGCGTTTTATTATATATTTCACGTTATTAATCATCATCTTTCTGCAGTTGCAATTGCTTTAGATTAGGCGGATTAAAGATCGCAATACCAGACGTCTCACATCTTTGACGTCACGGTTCTGTCCGTCACCGGTGTGGGTATTTTACATTTGGTGTAAACGAGATGGTTAAATCGGAACCGCCTTACATATATCGGAAGCCATTAGATTTTTCTAACATTTCTCAAGGTCGCCTCTTACGACTCCACACGTGTACTAATCATTATTTATTTTAGTTCTTATTTCCTGTCTAATTATTTTACTCAAACATTTAAATGACTTCCGATATTAAGAATTAGTGGCCACACTATGGATTAGGTTGTCAGTCACACTGTAGTTAGTAATCAGTTGTGATATGCCAATAAAAATACACAGTACAAAGGGTACACATTATGGCTTTAGTTTTTCTTGCATAAGGTTATTTGAATTAAAACACTGAAAAAATACTAATAGAGCTTTGTTCAGTCTTTTATTTAGTTTACTTGTGTTTTGTGCCGATATCAACGCATTTGTATCGTCCGCAAATACTACAAGCTGGACATCCGGTAAAGAGTTGTGCATGAAGGGGATCAAATCATAAATATGATGAAACAGATTCGTCCCAAAATAGAGCCTTGTGGCATTCCTCTATTAATTTTATATAATTCAGATTTATACGTCTTTTCATACTTATCTTCAGTACACTTCCGTTTGCTGTCTATTTTTAAATAAAACTTAAATAGCTGTAGTATATTATTATTACCTTTATTCCGTAGTATTGAAGTTTTATTATCAATATTTTATGATCAACCATATCAAAAACAGACCTCAAATCCAGAACTACACCTGCTTTTTATTGTTTAGATTTGTGATGACATCATCAACTATCGCACCCTTATGCCTATACTTGGCTGAAAATTGTGTATTTTTTATTTTATTATCATGTAGATGTTTAGTTAATCTAATTGTAGTTTTCAAACATTTTTGAAATAGTCGGTAAAAGGAAGATGGGCCTGTAGATTCATTTTTTACCTTTACTTATACACACGTAATACTTTTGTAATCTTTAATTTTTAAGAGCAAATGCCCTTTCCGTAAAATTTATAGTAAAAAATTATATTATAAAGGTAATTATAAACTTAGTCTCATGATGATTGGACTATTAAATTTAAGATTACCATATGTCGTATTTTTATAACATTTAAAATGGATTTGTATAATAAGAGAAAAAATACCTACTGTTTCGTCAGCCCGTTCCCAGATAGAGGTCTAGTTTTTTTTGAACCTATAGTTTTTTTTTTAACATTCATAAAACATATTATACTTCAAATTACTGTTATATTTGTTTATTTAATCAGCAAACAAAAAATTAAAATTAAAATACTCACTGTCCAAGAGTCTTCTGTATCTCATTACATCACTATAGGAATAGTACATGAGACAGGTAGCAAGTTCCCCGTCTCTCCCCGCCCTCCCCGCCTCCTGATAGTATCCCTCCACAGACTTGGGCAGGCTGTGGTGAATGACATATCTCACATCGGCTTTGTCCACTCCCATACCAAAAGCAATGGTCGCACAGATCTAGGGACCAATGTTTACATAATATTTTGATTTTTTAATAATATCTTAGGTCAAAGTAAAGGCCTAAATTAAGCAGAGATGGACAATGTAAACAAACTTTGTCTACCAATTTAAAACTATGTACATCGAATGTATGTATTCCAGGCACGAAGAAAAAGTTTTAAGAGAACTATTAAAACGAATACCCGCACTAAATAGCTAACGACAGTCGCTTCTAGCGTTATTGTGTATGAGACATTTAGCAGAGATACTTTACGCTCGCAAAAATAAGTGACACAACTCAATAAGCGTCAGTGTGTTTACATTATTTTACCTTAAGTCGAAGCAAACATTTTATTATGCATTCTTGTAATTATCATCAGAGCTATTGAATTACTTGTCAGAACTTATCATTGGCAGTGTCTATCAAGAGTTATTATTTCTTTATATAACATTTCTGCAAACATTAGACTAGAGGAATTGTTGAAAACAGTTCAAATGATATTAATATATAGGACAAAACACATAGGTCCTATAATAGAACCCTGTGATACCCCAGACGGGAAGCAGTTTTACAATAATGTGTTATGATTCAGAATTCAATTTTTTTTATTACAAATAACACCAGCTACTCCCAGCTTCGGGTAGTCAATTTTATTGAAAACTGAAACATGATCTTCGTTCTTGTACGTGGTAGAGCCATACTACAGCTATGCTAGCTATGCATAGCTGTAGCCCGAATGTGGCGACTCAACCGGAGTAGGACAACGCTCTCACAGAATAACAGCGTGAAACAGCTATGGTGAGTGTAGAGAACCGGAGATACTTCTTACTGGTTACGAGACATTCCACTATAGTAATCAGAGGCAACAACGTACCTTTTGATTTTTAATAGATGATAGCTGTGTATGTCTATGGGCCACGAATCCACTTACAATCAGGTGGACTATGTACTTGTTTGTTTTGACTTTATACAATAAAAAAGAAGTCACACGCACATCCATTTTAATACCAAAAATAATTAAATTAAGAAAGCATTATACTCACCACTTTAAACTTGTCCGCTACCCAGCTAGCTTGAACCGATTCCCGCTTCTTGTCAGTAAGGCCTGCATGATAGGCGGCTGCCTGAATACCCACTTTCCGTAGATCCAACGTCAAAGTTTCACATTCCTTTCGCGATAAGCAGTAAACTATACCGGAATCCCTGAAATTGTAACTGACTAAAATATTATTTCTTATTTATAGTTTTAATAGGCTTAAAAACTTTAAAAGCCTAGATGATGAGATTTCGTCTTTAATTGTACAATATGCGTGTAATCCGAATGAATTGAAAATCTGTTAAATGTCATGTCGGTATACCGTCCCATCGGACTATGATAGTGAGGGCATAGAGAGTGCACCTGTGCTTGCGCATACACTTGTGCACTATAATCCAGTCCTGCGCCGATGGCTAGTCTCCGTTGAGACTGGCCGCCGTGACCGAAATTCGGTCTGGAGGAAATTATTAAGTTTGTTTATCACTTCAATTTTACGAAAATAGCGAGAAACAACAAATTGTTACCACACCACGCAAAGTACCAATGTTACTACCATGATAATTCATATTTCATAAATTACGCAGTCGACTACCTTATTAAATAATTGACCAAGTTTGTAACTCAAGTGGCGAAATGCAAATAATGAAGTCAAATCTCTATACAAACCTGAAAAACTTTTCCTTGATGATTTTGGCAATTTCCTGATTAACTAACTTGGGCTTCTTCTCCAATATCCTGTATGCGAGGTTGGGCCTGTTGAAGCTGCAGAGGAACCACTTGCAGCTGGTGACCTTCAGCTGGTGCAGTATGTCCATGCGCACGCGCGGTGTGGCCGTGGCGGTCAGCGCCATTATGTTGGTGGTGGGGAAACGCTCCCGTAATATAAACAAGCGCTTGTAGTCCGGACGGAAGTCGTGCCCCCATTGCGACACGCAATGAGCCTCGTCTATGACGAACCTGTTTTGTAAAGATAATATATAATAAATAATAGATAATAGAATAAAAGTTAAAACGGAACGTAAATTTTAATGTAAAAGGTAATGGTAACAATATGCGTCCGAAAGAGTAAGTTAAAAATAAAGTAGTGTAAATGGTGTGCAAGCGAGATAGATAATTGTAACTATATAAGTGTGTCGAAAGAGAAAATAGATTTGTACTTGTAATGGCGATATGTGTTTCATTTCCATCTTGCAGTGTACGATCAGTACATCGCGAGTTCTGTATTCGAAATGCAGCAGTAATAAATGTTCGTGCAAAAACAATATGGTGAAGAAAATATATAGCGCGAAAGTTAATATTAAAAGGTGTCGAGGTAGACCGAGACTAACTTTCGAAGGCCATGTGAGCAAATTGCTCGAAGAGGGTAGGGTCAAGAGTACTCGGATACCTAGACGTGCATGTATGAAGAAGATAATGAATCTGAAAGAAGCGAAAGAGGTATGTAAGGATCGTGACACTTGGCGATCTGTTCTCTCTGTCTACCCCGTCAGGGATTGTGCGTGAAGATAAGTAAAAACAATATCGTTTCTAGGGTGCCCACACCCCACATTAATTTTGAAATAATAATGACAGTACATGCAACACCTAACATCACGAATATTATTAAACACTCCAAGTAAGCTTTCGATAGCAGTCGAATGGCAGATTCGAACTTACAACCATTTAATTTCGTTATCCCCTTAACTACACATTCCCTTATAATACAGATAGTGAAACCAATGAGTTTTATTTGATATATGTTGAAAGATTCTGAAATGCTGAAGTCTCTAAAATCTTCGTAAATAAAATCGCGCGTATTTTCTGTACAGATAATGTATATAGTTAATATATATTATAGCTTTGAATTTTTACTAATTTTGAAATCCAATGGGATAATAAAGCTTATATATTACTTCAATTGTTTAAATTCCCGAAAATTTTATTTTTAACATACTTTAGTCTTTGATTAACAATGGTAAAACATAATGTTTAAATCTGTTGTATAGACTTTGATTTAGATAATTTCATTAGAGATTTCTGAATTACCTGGCAATCTTCCCTCTAGAGTATAGCGTATCCAGCATGCTTTGGAACTTGGGGGAGTTGCTGATCTTCTCTGGAGTGACATAGAGCAACTTAAGCAGCGGCTCCCGCATGGACAGCTTGTGATAGATCTCGTCACAGGCAGCCAGCGAAACGTCGCCGGATAAATGAGCTGCTGGGATCTACAAATTAAATTATTTGTCTGTAATGGTGTCTCCCTAGAAGAGATAGAATGATTAGCATTCATCACGATCATCATCATCATTACAGGCCATAAGTACGCTCCTAAACATAGGCCCCGATTGTTTTAAAGCCAGTGATGACTTGGACTGCGATTACATTAGCGTTTGTCATACGTGCGCGTTTCTCCAACGTTCGACCAGTGCACACTAATTTATTAGGTTAGCCATCAGTCGACTTAATATGTTCCCCAATACCCAATATGTATCTTATGGGCCCTATACACGATCGGCCATGATGGACAACCACAGAATGGGCCATGATTGTCACAATCATTGCGCGGCTGACCACACGATAGTGCATCCTACATATTTGTATTGTCATCCGTCCGAGATGGACGTTGAAACAGTTGCAGCTGCCGCTATTTATTTACCTAATTAGTTTATATGTATAACCATTATTTAAACGTACACTTTAAAAGAGTGGTGAAGAAAAAAAGAAGCAAAAAAGGTGGATGTTAATTATACACCGAAATAAAACAAGGTAAGTTTATAGAGCATCGGCGATCATGTAGACGCGCGCACGATCATGGCCGAACTTTCTTTGATGATTGTCTGAAAAACCGACACAGCGGCGATTACGCTCGATCATAACCGATCATGGGCGATTATAGGCGATCATGCCCTCCACACGATCGTGATCGCTAGTATTCGTCCATCATGGCCGATCGTGTATAGGGCCCAACAGGGCGTCTAAGTTGTAAGCACATTGTTAATTTAAGACAAATTATGTACACTTCAATTGCCAATAAATGATTTGATTTGAATTGAACATATATATAATCTTCATTAAATTGTTTCCAAAATTTAAAGGAGTATGGCAGTTGATACTCATTGTACCTGTGCTGTTCAGACCTTATGGGGCCTATACACCATCGGCCATGATGGACTACTAGCGATCCCGATCGTGTAGAGGGCATAATCGCCTATAATTGCCCACGATCGGTGATGATCGAGCGTAATGGTCGCTGTGTCGGTTTTTCAGACAAACAAACATCAAAAGAAGTTCAGACATGATCGTGCGCGCGTCTACATGATCGCCGATCACTCAGCTCTTATTTCTTTACGGTACAGTGAGAACGTGTGCTATTTTGTCATAGTTTCTTTTCAGGTAATTAGTTTAGGTACAATAAAATGTCGGAGACGAAGTCGACTAATGACGAAACATTAAAATTCATCAAATTGTATCAAAATGAACCCGCAATATGAAATCCAAAAATTAAATATCATGGGTTGCCCTCAGTTAAAAATTTCAACATAAGATTTCACACTCACGGTCAGTTTTTGGATGTACGTTAGTTCAACTGATCAGTTTAACTGACCGTCTGTGTCGGCCATAACATACACAGTAGTGTTCTACATTTTTTTAACAAAGGTTCTAATAGGGGCTATACACCATCCGCCATGATGGACGAATTCTAGCGATCACGGTCGTGTAGAGGGCATAATTGCCTATAACTGCCCATGATCGGTAGGTAATGATCGAGCGCAATGGCCGCTGTGTCGGTTTTTCGGACAAACATCAAAGGAAGTTCGGCCATGATCGTAAGCGCGTCTACATGACCGCCGAAATCAGATGCTCTACAAGCTTACCTTTATTTATAGGATAGGGTGACAAACGAGCACACAGTCCACCCGATGGTAAGTGGTTGCTGTGGCCCATAGACATCTACATCTATCCTCGTTTGCGAATTAAAATGCAGATGCGTTGTCACCCGTGAGGACTAAGATGGAATGCCTCTTTTCCAGTAAAAGGGTCTCCGGTTCTCTACACTCACCATACAAAACACAGCAGTTCCAAGCTGCCATTTTACGCTGGTATTCTGTGAGAGCGTGGTCGTTCCCCGGTCGAGCCGACCCATTCGTGCTATAACTATACTACTAATATAGCTGCAGCATGGCTCCACCACGTAAAAAAAAACCTTGTTCTATTACGGTGTATAGTTAACATACACCGAAATAGAACACGATTGTGTTTATTTTTGTAGCAGCTGCTGCTATTTTAATTTGAAACATTTTAATTTTATTTTTGCTGCAGAATTTATTTATATCTTTAATTAAAATCCAAAGTATCACCTGGCAGTGCCGGCGATTGCAGGTAGTAGCCATTATCACCTAAACTTAAAATCTGTTAAAAAATGTAGGATATGTTATGAATGACATACACGGTCAGTTAAGCTGATCAGTTGAACTGACGTACATCCAAAAAGTGACCGTGAGTGTGAAATCTTGAAAGTTGGAATTTGAAGCCAGTGAGTTGGGAAATCGTTTTGGCTTACATCCGTTTTAATGACCAGTTAAACTGATCAGTCCAACTGATCAGATTGACTGACCGTGCGTTGAGCATTAGGTACTTGTACCACTGACAACGACCGATGACAAAATTTCATAACAACGACTGACAACAAACTCACATTCGCATTTATAATATTAGTTGGGATAGTTTGGTACTTCCCACGTTTTTATCTTTATGATATTTATTTTTTGTATTACATATTGAGGGTTCATTTTGGTACGATGAATTCAAATGTTTCATCATTAGACTTCTTTGTCTCCTAAATTTTATTGCGCATAAATTAATTACGTGAAAAGAAACTGACGAAATAGCACGCGTCCTCACTGTACCGCAGACAAATAAGAACTGAGTGATCGGCGATCATGTAGACGCGCGCACGATCATGGCCGAACTTCCTTTGATGTAGATACCACCATTTTTCTTGGAATCACACTAGACGCGAAGCTTCAATGGAGCCCCCATATATCAAAACTAGCAAGCAGACTTAGTTCTGCAGCATATGCCGTAAAAAAGATTAGAAGTCTAACTAGTGTTGAAACAGCTAGACTAGTTTACTTTAGCTATTTCCATAGCATAATGTCGTATGGTATTTTGCTATGGGGACACGCAGCTGACGTTGAAATTATATTTGTTTTACAGAAGAGGGCCATAAGAGCAATTCATGATTCAAAGCCTAAAGAGTCGCTGCGACAAAAATTAAAGGAAATTAATATAATAACTTTGGCCTCTCAATACATTTATGAAAATGTAATGTACGTACACAAAAATAAAAGTAGTTTTACAAAAATAAGTGATATTCATTCTGTAAATACTAGGAACAGACACAAGCTAGTAGTACCAGTTACTCGACTCCATCGAGTCAGTAATTCATGTATACGTTTTTACAACAAAATTCCAGAAAATATACAAAATTTGACCTGCTCAAAGTTCAAAAACTTTATTAAACTAAGTTTTTATAAAAAGGATTATTATAATATTAAAAAATTTATAGATGATAATAACCCCTGGAAATGAGGTGATCGCTACCAAGCTATTTCTAATTTGTTATGTTGTTAATTTGGGTAAAATACATGATTGTAAGCTGTTATTTAAAAAAAAAAAGTCCCGCTGGGTTTCTTGCTGGTTCTTCCCAGGACAGAGGTTCAAACCAGTTTACAAGAGGTTTTTCAAACCAGTGATCATTATACAAAAGAGTGACTTTCAATAAGTATTATTTATAATCTATATTGAATAAAAAAAGTTTCTGTTTCTGATGTTTGTCCCAAAACCGACACAGCGGCCATTACACTCGATAATCACCGATCATGGGGAATTATAAGCGATTATGCCCTCTACACGATCGTGATCGCTAGTATTCGTCCATCATGGCCGATGGTGTATTGCCCCGTAACAATATATCCGCAATAGACCGAGAGCGACTGACATATCCAAACGAATCAGTACGCTGAATTCGCAATGAGATGGTCGAATAGTCAGAGAACTGACAAATAATTGGGAAGAAAGGTTCGCGAGTGGCAGGATCGTACTGACAAGCTAAGTGAGCAAGCAAAACCATCAAAATCAACCGCTTTGGGGAGCTAATTATACAGGGTTATTTTGCAATAAGCGACCAAATTTGCAGAGAAGGTTCGAGTCTTTGCTGAACAAAGTCTCGGATTGGGGTGACTAAATCTAGTTCAGTTTAATCCTAAGAAGACACAAGTTTGTGCGTTTACCGCTAAAAAGAACTACTTTGTCGTATCTCCTCAATTTCAAGGCACTGCCCTTGTTGCCTCAGCCAGTATCGGAATCCTCGGCGTCGATAATCGAGTGACGTGCACTTTCGTGGTCACTTGGAAGAGAAGGCCAAATTGTCCTCTAAAAAGCTAGGCGTGCTCAGCAGAGCGGGACAGTATTTCATGCCGGCACACCGCCAGGAACTTTACAAAGTGCAGGTTCGGCCTCACATGGAATACTATTCCCATCTCTTCTGGGCTGGCACTCCCCAGTGTCAGCTCCTTCCATTTTACAGCATGCAGCGCAGAGCGGCTCAAATCCTCGACGACGGAGTTCTTTCCGATCGGCTCGATTCAATGGATGAATGTGATGTGAAGAGATGTTGCATCCCGTTGCATTTTCTTTCGCATTTACCACGGGGAGTGCTCTGAGGAATTGTTCGGATTAATCCCAGCCGCCAAATTTCACGAACGCACATAGCGGCAAAACTCCCGATACCATCCACACCATCTGGATGCTTGGCGGTCCACCACTGTACGTTTCATTAGGAGTTTTCTTCCGCGTATGACCTCTCTGTGGAATAGTTTACCACCGGCGATTTTTCCAGACCGATACGACTTAGAGACCTTCAATAAAAGAGCTTACTCCTTTTTAAAAGGCCGGCAAGGCACCTGCAATTCCCCTGGTGTTGCAATTGTTCATGGGCGGCGGTAGTCACTTACCATTAGGTGAGCCGTATGCTCGTTATCCCCCTATCCTATAAAAAAAAGTAATATAGGCAAATGGTGAAGAAAGATTAATTAAAAAAATGTCAAACATTCTGACCTTATTTTTTAAATTAAAAATGCGTGGTTAATGCATTATTTTAACTGAATTTACTGCGCACATATACATTCGTAAGGGTAGATATGAGAAAATAATTGTCGAAATAGGTCGACAGTGAAGCTCAAACTCCGCTTCGCGTTCGAGGTGTGTAATTAAATTTAGTTAGGTAAAGGGGAATGCCCACCGTTCATAGACACTTCCGCCATGGTTGCACACATATAAAAGCATATGGAAATGATAATATGCAATTAAAAAAATGAAATCGTTAAGGAAAAAAGTCCGGACTTTTAAGATATAAAGGTTTTTTATTTTCACAAGAACAGTTTTTTAACAACAAATGACTTCGTATTTTCGTGACATTTAAACCACAATTGACACAGCGTTAATGTGCTTTTGAATGAGTTACTGAGAGCTGGAAAGAACTCTGGCCGGTGTGAAAGCTGGGAACATCGTTAACAGTGGATATCGAGTCCAAGTTCATGCAGAGGTTATCGTAAGAAGTGGGAGCGGGATCCGTGTTCAGGCCGTGGTCAATAGGGTAAGAAGAATTATCGGAGTCCATTTAGAAAGCTTATTCGTTGCTTAGATAACAAATCCGCGAGAAAACAAACAAAATAACACAAATGCAAAGTCATTCGACTTGTGACTATTTAGTTTTGTTAATTATGACATGGGCCTAGCTGTCAAATTCGATATCGCCACTTAACAGACATGAAATCAATAAATGGATATCGATTTTTTATTCGATTTATAATCGACATCGACTAATAGAAACCTTGTGCTTAGGGACAGCAGTGCACTGAACAAAACATGCCAGTGATAAGATAAAAAGTTAATAACGACAATTTTCATTTATTACTAACGCACGCACAGTATCGCACTGCGCATTGCTGTGGCTCAGTCTGGTTAAATGGATTAAATAATGATTACTTTTGACATAAAGTAAAAACCGACGAGCTAAAAAAGAAGTTATTTATTTGCTACCCTTGGACTGGATTTGTTTCTCCAAATTTATATGGGACCACCCTTGAAATATAACATATTTAATAAAAAAAATAATCATCAAAATTGATTCACAGTCTGCGAAGATATGGCGTGACATATAATAAAACATACATTCGAATTGAGAACCTCCTTCTTTTTGAAGTCGCTTAAAAATAAAGACAGATGGCGGTGTTTTACAAAAACTAGCTAATTCGAATGCATTGCCGTGTCAACTATTTTAAGCATTGGGTGCAGAACTTTCAGAGATTTAAGATTTTGAACAAACAAACATTTACGTTTTTATTTAAATATAGATGTAACTTATTTTGAATTAAACTATATTTATATACTAACATCGAGAGACAACAACTTGTTCACTTGATCCAGTATTAACGACTTTAGCGGGGATACCACTATAGTCACTCCAGGTGTAAGTACAGCGGGCAGCTGGTAACAAAGTGATTTGCCTGTAAAATTTATTAATCTTTGTAAGTACAACTGTAATATTGTATTTTTTTATAGGATAAGGGTGGCAAGCGAGTACACGGTCTACCTGATGGTAGGTGGTTGCTGTGACCCATAGACATCTACATCTATCCTAGTTTGCGAATCAAAATGCAAATGCGTTGTTAGCCGTGAGCACTAAGATGGAATGCCCCTTTTACAGTAAAAAGGGTCTACGGTTTTCTACACTCACCGTACGAAACACAGCAGCATTAAGGTGCTATATTATGCTGGTATTCTGTGATAGCGTGGTCCTTCCCCGGTCGAGCCGACCCATTCGTGCTACAACTATACAATTAATATAGCTGCAACATGACTCTACCACTTATAAAACACATATATTGTAAGGGAATGATACAGTTTTGCGCTTTTTGTTAGTGTAACGCGTTGCACGCATCGCTTGCAGAATGAGCGAAGCAATGCCGAATTTATCTATCCATATACATTATTACCAGCCAGCAAAATATAGATTATTATTTTAAAGTTTTAATTGTACCTGATAATTGAAATAATAAAATTTATTGTAGTTTTTAATTTTTAATCTTGAAATATGAGTAGTTCTTTAAAATTTGTGTTGTGAAAATGGTTAAGTACTTTGTTTAGAATTGTAATTTTATTTGTTTTTTTATAGTCTACAAACAGAAGACTGCTTTTGTTGATTGTTATTGTAAGTAGGTAATAAGTGGTTTAAATTTATTTCAATCTGTGCGGTGATTGATTAATAAACAATTAACGTATGTAACGGAGTATTTTAGTTTTTTTTTTTTCGGGGGTTGGAGTTGGTGAGTTTTTTGGCTGCATGGCCTCAGAAAGGTATGTTTGGCTTTCTAAAAATTACTGTCCGGCTTTTAGGGCTAAAAGTCCGGCTTTTTTGAGCGCCGAGTCCGGCTTTTTCATTTTAGGAGTAGGCAACCCTAGTCGCGGCCTATACCGGCCTTATATAGGGCCTCTGGTAGTTTCCAGAACCTTCTACTATAGAAACATCTAGAATGTTCGAGTGCATATCGGTCCCGATATTCCTAGAACGATCTTGACTATCCTAGTTCTGCTACTCGACACTAGAGGGCGCTAGTGGTAACTAGTGTTGCCATGTACAAGACATTAATGGTGGCGCGCAACAATATTAAAATATATAACACAGCTTACCTCCGCCTGTAGGCATGAGGACGAAGCAATCGTGACCTAACAGAGTGGCGTTGATCACTTGTAGCTGATTTGGTCGGAAGGATTTGAGACCAAACTTCTCCTTGAACATTTCCATCATCAGTGCTGAATGCGGGTAGTCAAGCCCATCGAACTCTCCTGCAAGACAAGAACGTAATGAACATGCTTTATAAACACCGCACACTGCAGACTTTCTATCGAGCGAGAGTTTAGTCGGTTTCTTAATTAGTATCGAGATGTATGCAAGTGCGCATATTATAACGATTAGTTATCGACCGATAAATCACTTTGATGGGCTACACGACTCCCTTCAAACTAAATTGTTGGTCAACTATCGGCCAACTACTAAAACAGTACGGCGCTCTTCGACGCGCGCATACACGCCGATTGCTTAGTCAGCCGACTCTGTCGATAACGTCACTTCGCTCAAAATTTTGGCGCGGAATAGAAGTGCGCATGCATCAAAATAGCGCTGCTTGTCGAATCATCTATTTTACAGTTGATAGAGGAAGTTGAAATATGGTGCAAAATTTAAAGATAAAGCTGAGGGAAGAAGTAATCTGTCACTGTATATAGGATGCACCAAGTATTCTCGGTTTTTCTTCTTGATCCGTTTCCTTCTTTGTATTATACGAGGGCGGCGCTAAAAATTTCGGGAATCAAGGAAGTGACACAACATTACTATTTAAAAATATATTTATTGCTTTTCGAAGTATTCTCCGCGAAATTTGACACATTTTTCCATACGATGGAACTAATCATTGAAGCAACCATTCCATTCGGAAGTTGGGGTCTCCAAAATGGTCGTTTTGTAGGCGTCCACAGCTTCTTCAGGTGATGAAAATCTCTGTCCACGCAATTTATTCTTTATTTTAGGGAAAGTATAGAAATCATTAGGGCTTAGGTCGGGGCTGTACGGCGGATGGTCTAATCATTCTATGTTTTCTTGCCCTAAAAACTTTTGTTCTGTGTGCGGTGTGAGAACTCGCATTGTCGTGATGGAGGATGATGCGGCGGTTGCAGTTCTCTTTACGGAGTTCAGAAACGACCTGTGGCAAACAAATGCTAGCATACCATTCTGCATTAACCGTTCTTTGTCCCTCAAGAGGAATAGTCGTAACATGGCCGGTTTTGGAGACAAACGTGGCCACCATTTTTTTTTTTTGCAACACTCCGTGAACGAACAATTTTTGTTGGCTTTAACTCATTTTCGAACACCCAAACTCGTGACTGGTTTTTTGTTTCGGGTTCATACGCGTATATCCAGGATTCGTCACCTGATACGATATTGTATACAGCATTTGAGGATCCTGCGTGGAATCTTTCGAGAGTTCTGACGCACCAAGTAACGCGAGCCGCTTTTTGCTCTTCACAGAGCGAATGCGGTATCCATCGGGAAAACAACTTTTTTACACCTAATTGTTCATGCAAGATTATTTGTATTTGGCTCATGCCAATGTCTAAAGTTGCCTGAATTTCGCGGTATGTCACATATCGATCTTTCTCAATCAGCTTACGCACAGCATCAACGTTTTTTTGGGAGACTGCAGTTTTTGGACGACCTTGACGGGGATCATCACTGAGCTTGACACGTCCAAGTTGAAATTCAGCAAACCAGCGATAAATTGTGGTTTTGGATGGGGCTTCATAACCAAATGCAGAAATCATCCGGTCAACACACTGTTTTTATGTTAAACCACTTCGAAACTCATAATAAATCATCGCTCTTGAATTTTCTCGAGTCAATTCCATTTACTCAACGACTAAACAAGTTTGACAAAACCTTGTGACAAGACCGAGAATCTTTTTTTAAATAAATAAATGGTATTCAATTTTAAAAAACCAAGGACTTTTCAATTAAAAAGATTTTAATATGACAGGAACAGTGGAAATATTCCATTCCTGATTCTTTTAGTGCAGCCTATGTATCAATAATAATAACATTTCTGGACAATATTTTAGGTTTCATTACGTGACTACTCACTTCAAAAGCTGCTTATTAACTACAATTTTTTCGCAAACGATCGGCCCACTGTTGGCTAGTGTACACCCCGCACTCACCACTAACCCGACTGTTTAATTGGCCCTGTGTGCGCACTCGCAGCCCAACCCGACTAAACTCTCGCCCGATAAAAAGTCTGCAATGTGCGGAGTCTCTTAGACTTTTCGAAACAGAATTTTATACAGGTATTTCATGCAAAGAATTGTCCATATATCTATTTATTTCTGGAGAAATTATTCATGGTATACTTGAACTGCGGACACTGTTAGCAAACCTATCAAACATGGCGATATAGTAAATTTTGCATTCTAAAAACCAAAAGGATTTTTATAGGATAGTGAAAAAAACGAGGGTAAACTATAGACATCCGTTACTTGCGTACAGAGGTGTAACAGGTGTGGGCTGAGGGAGAGGGGTAGGGGGAGGGTTCAGAGGAGGACCCTTACTCTTCCCCCTTTGCGGAAATGTATAGTTTATGAGTAATATTTTTTTTTTTTGTAAAATCATACCCTCACTATTTTACACAGGAATATTGACTCTAAGTGGGGGAAAGAGTGTAAAGGATTCAAGCTTGAATCCTTTACACTGTTTTTGGTGGAAATCCTGACAATTCTCCTAAACTGAAAACATAATTAAAATCAAGTACCGGACGTCTATAGACAACCCAAAACGAGAAGACATCATTAAAATTTGTGAAAATCTAACTATGCTGAAATCCCACCGTATAGACTTTATTGAGGCTTACAAAATATTGACTCCACAAATATAGCTGTCACATATTTTTAACATCAGCATATCCACCATGCTAGACATCCTCACTATATGAGATTGGCCCATACCCGCTCATACACTAATGTGGGACATCAAACACTATACAACAGAATCACAAATACATGAAACAAGTTGCCTCAAGCCATGGTTGATGCTCCCTCTGTGATTAGTTTTGAAAACATACTGGACAAATGGTGCAAAAACAATCAATGCAATTTAGTGTATTCTTAATGTGGGTTTGGAATATTATAAAACACCAACACAGCTATAGGTATATCTATTACTAAATAACAATAATATAAAAGAAAACAAGTTGAAATAGATATGATCCTCTTTAGTCAAAATAATGAAATACTGAATTTCGATAAAAACATTAAATAGCAATTACCCGTAATTCCGTCATTATGAGTACCCACGTGAAAATCTCCCATCCCTTCATATTTCGTTGGCACATCATCTTTGACTACAGACTGTTCCATCAAATTAATAACTTCTTGATCTTTTTCAGCTGCAACCATGTCATCTTCGAAATCTTCTATCCTATATTCTGGCCAACCATCTTCATCAACTGGTATCTCTTTGTTATTAATAACTTGTATATTACCACTGCTTGGAATAGAATCACTTATATTTATAACACTCGCTTTTGAGCTTTCTGGTAGAATATCTGTTTCGTCATCCATGTCTATAGGAATTGCATATTCGTCTGTATCATCCATGTCATCACTGGTCAGATTTTCATGAGGTACTAGAGAGACTACAGAATCGGAATTATCAAGTCCCATTAAAGAACTCTTACTGAAGTGAGGAGGTTGGAACTTAACAGAACTATTTTCAACTGGTGAAACCTTCGGCTGTTCTTTGTTTTCTAATGGTTTTAGCTTTTCTGATGCAATTTTTAATCTTTCTAATGTATTAGAAGGCACGTCTATATTAGGTGTCGTATTACCTGTAGAATCTCCATTATGTAATCTAGAAGGCCTTTTAAAAACAAATTTTCCTTTACTCTTATTAACACTATCACATAAACTGACATTTTCTGCTTCTGATTGTACACTTGAATCTAAATTCTTTGAACTGTCGTTAATTGGTGAAAACACATCAAAGGACAATGGTTTCTTAGTTGTTATTTGTGAGTAAATAGTTTTACGAGGTTGATTTTTATTAGATGTTAGTATATCTGGTGTTGATGTTTCTGGAGTATTTAATAATGAATTGTGTGCACTTTCAGATTTACTTTTTATAGCTTTACTACAGTCTATGTCAAAGTCTTCAAGATCATCTATGTCACCCACTGATGAGCTTACATGGCCATTTAAATTTGTGCTATTTTGTGAACTTGTTTTGTTCAATGTTGAGTCAAAAGTGTTTGTTTTTTGAACAGCTCGATTAATAGCACATTTTAACTTAGTGCTTAAATGCTTCATTTTAGAATAAGTTTTACAATCGTATCCAGGAAATTTTTCCTTAATACAGTTCGGAATCCTATCAAAGGCACTACTTATTTTCTCAAGTAATTCTATGTACAATGATTTACATTCTTCCAACTCATTAACAATCATTGCATTTTCATCCTGGAAACAAATTGTTATGAAAATAGAACATTAAAGTAACATAAAAACTTTGAATAAATATATAAAAAAAAAGGAAAGAACCTTTTCTGATGTCCTTAAGGCTGGGTGTGATGATATTTTTATTAGTAAATTCGAAACTGATCCATCTAGGTTTAGGTTTTTTAAGGGATCCTTGTCTTTAACTGGACTTTTCTTTTGTGGTGTTCTTAAAGACTTTTTGTTACGAGTATTGTCTCCTATTTTATTTTTTGGAGGAGTAGGTGTAGCACTTATTCTTATTGTTCTATTGGCTATTACCGGTGATGGTGTTCTTTCATGGGACGGGTTGAAATCCTAAACAATAAAACAAATTTAAAATACAAGTAATCACAAAGTTTATAAATAAAAATGAAGATTAAAGTACATTTTAATAAAGATATCTATTGTTATAGTGAGAACCATATTCATGTTGGGATAGTACAATAGCAATTAATTTCTTAAAATAAAATAAAAACATGTGACACATTACACATGTGGCATTAGAAGAGAAGACTCGTGAGTTAGAAAGAGAGGCACCTAGTAGAGAATATAATATTAAGTACTCCACACTTTGTAAGCTAAATTGCTTTTTATTCTGGCGTAGCGGTGTGGAGTGCTCCTTCTGTACCTAAACCACTATTTTGTGCAATGTAAACAAAAGATGGGTAACAAAATTAAATGATCCAGATTTCTTTTACTGGATATTTCTATGTATCAGCAGTAGATTTTGACATTCATAAGAATTGAAGACTAACTTAAAATGAAAATTTTACTGTGACTTTACAACACCATAACTTACCACATCCATAGCTTCAAATAGGTCGTTGCTCTGATTATCACTTACTTTTTGAACATTGTCAAGCTTATTTTTAAGCAGTGGAGTTTGAGTATTATTGATATTCAGGTCTGATAATAATCTTGGTGATTTACTACTGTCCTTAGTATTTATATTTGTAGCATCCTGAAAACATTTTTATTTTCAAAGAATTAGTTCAGCATCACAGCATAATTTTGAGACATACGTTATTAAAGATCTAAAAATTCATTTAGTATGTAACTCAATTACTTACATTTTTCCTGGGTGTGTTTTCAGGATTGGTTTTGAAAGGAGGTGTCCCTGAAACAGTCCCATTAAATATATAAATTTTTAAAAGCATTAGAATGATATACACTTATAATTCACCTGAGGGTAAATGGTTGCTACACCCACAAACACCAAACAGACAAGTACAATGGTTAGAACGGTATTTAAAATTCCCGACTGCGCAAAGAAGTTTACTGAAATAAAAATTTTATGTCTTTTATACCTCAGAACTAAGACAAATCTAAAGGCACCTAATATGTTTAAATCCATCTATCTAGCCATTTAGGCTACAGTGTGCCAAAGCAATAGACATACATATACACTTAAAGGCCATTCCTTTGTGGGTCTTTCAGTCAATACAAAGTTAAGTGATGTATCAACAACCTTGATAGAGATAACACATGAACTTTCATTGTCATCAGTTATTGATTCTATGAGCTATATTACAGTTACATTCCTTCAAGTTATAATCACTCTATTTTTTTTATTATGAATAATAATAATAGTAAAAGAGTTACCATTATCACTTATAATAGTCATTATAAATAACGATGTTTATTCACTCTTTAATAACATTAGAAATTTAACACATAGAAATGTTGAATATCCTCATTACGGATAAAATCACACCTCTAAATGTAACTCCAAGTACAGAGCATAGGTATTATTTATAAGCCACACTATATATTTAATACAACGAAGGTAAATATACATTTACATATATTTGCAATGAATACAGAATATACCCACAAGTAGCAGCTGCTGTTGAAACTTTTGATTTCCACACAAATTTGGTTTTTTTCTCCGAGGCCAGCTCATTTGATTCACTGAAAAATAATTTGCTCATAAATAATTTTTTAGTAACTTATTGTCACAATTATTTTCTGTGCAGGAATAGAATAGAATATTTTTTATTAAATTTAAATTTTGTCGACATTTGTCGGAAAAAGTTTACGTAGATTAGGCTAAAACTAAAATTAATTCTAAGTTGGTAACTTCTTAGCTGCAAAAAATATTTAAAAGATTCAGGATTTTAAAAATTTGTACCTTTGACTTTTTTTGACGAATTTCATCAGCGTACTTTGTTTGCTTTCAGCACCACTTTTTTTTGAAGCCATGTTATTCTTAAACACAAAATATTATGATTAATAACCATTAAAAAAACGAAAAAAGTTCCCGCTTTCGATAAAAACAATGTTTTTTCATCAAAATCCAAATTGACATCTGTCAACGTCAAGTAGAATCATTTTTTTAATAACATGCTTTACGGCTCTGGGTTCTAGTCCTTCTGAGCCTGAAGTAACAATGTATAATTATTCTTCGTAGTATTCTATTAAGAATAATTATACATTGTTACTTCAGGCTTCTTCATATTATTCTTCACTGCTTCACAATATGTTGATGCGTCACATTGTGCAGGTTTTGCTTGGGAGGTTTTAACGGCAACTTGAGCCAGCAGACAGCTGATAGGTGGCGATGGTATCTCAAGGCGCCTAAGCAGAAAGACACCTTATCTTGAGAATCACATCACCATCAGAGCACATGTTTCACCGTTTTCACAAATAGTTCACATGCGTAGACACTTAGTACACAAAATCGCACCACTTTTACATATCAAAGTTCACTTCAAACTATTATTTAAACAATAATACAGGAAGAGCAAACTGCCGCCGGTCAAGTTTCCGCCAAAATTCCTCAAGTAGAATCAACCATGAAGCAAATATAAAGAGGAGACGGCATATTTAACTGTGCACTGTGATTCTAAGTAGGTCCTGACGTCATTATAGTGGGCGTGGCTTTAGTTAGTATACTGTCAGCACTCGTCCTGTGCGCTTATGTGTTGAAAATCGCAAATCGGTGTATTTTCGTAGTATTAAGAGGAAAAGGATGAAGTGTTGTATTTTATCGTGTAAAAACTACTCAGATAGACGCTCTGATGCTATGGATGGCATCACATTTCATTTGTAAGTAATTTTAAACCTAATTTATTAAAATAGTTCTAGAAAAATCTCTTTCCGTCGGCTTTCATATATAATTAAATATATTCGACACTAGATGGCGACACTTTGTGTCATGTGAACTAAAAATATATAGGAACGTAGAGCTCAGTATTGGTAAAATAATCATAAGAAGTTGCTGAAATTTGTTTTGCATTCAGACAAAGAAATTTTAATCGCCAAAATGTTATTTTTATAGTTTATAATCATTTTGTGAACATACCGCCGTCTACCGTCTAGCTAGCTAAACTACATTGCAACATCGATATGGAACGATTCGAATAGTTTTACTATTTATCGGTAGATGTAGATGGTGTAAGTTGGGCGGGGCTTTGCATCTCCTCACCCCGCAAATTGTCACGCGTTGTTACATAGTGAAACTTAATTAGAACGTCTCCTCTTTATATTTGCTTCATGGAATCAACAGAGACCACTAAAGAGGATATTGTGCACAGTATCAATGACCAAAGAGTGGGTCTTTTTTATTAAGATTTTTGGCTTGGATACCTATTCTTTAAGTTATCTTGTCTTCATTTATCTCAGTACTAGCGATCCGCCTCGGCTTCACACGGTTGATTTCTGGATCTCAAAAATAACGCACAACAACTGGGTCAAATTCTGAATCTAAACCATTCTCTAATAGACTTAACACACAAAATTTCATCAAAATCGGTCCAGCCGTTTAGGAGTGAGTTCAGTCACATAAACACGGACAGCAAAATTATATAATGTACAATATTTATGCATATATATATATATATATATATATATTGATATATATATATAAACTTTTATCTTAAATTTTCCTATCCATTGATGTAAAACGCATCAAAATGTGTTGCAAAGTTAAAAAGATCTAAGTGTACAGACTGCGGGAAACATAATAATCATTTATAATACGCTGCTTCACAATATGTTGATACGTCACATTGCGTAGTTTTGTTAGTGATAGTATCTCAAGGCGCCTAAGCAGACAGACACCTTATCTTAAGATTCAAATCACCACCAAAGCTCTTGTTTCAACATTTCCACTAATACTTCACATGCGCAGACATTAAGTATACAAAATCGCGCCACTTTTACATACCAAACTCCAATTCAAACCCTTAATTAAACAATAATACAAGAGCAGCAATCCGACGTTGGTCAAGTTCCCGCCAAAACTCGAAAGAATAGGTCATTGAATATTACAAATCATAAAGTAACACCGGCCGCCTACGTACCAGACGGGTGTGGCTAGCCACACGCAGGCGTTCCCTTGTGCCAAAGTATAAATTCACAGGTCCTATATGTACAATAAAACTAGTTGCAACCGCACAACTCATTAGATTGAACTAGTTGCGCGACTGAACCGATGTCCTAGAAAAATGCCGAATTGTTCACTTTCTTTTTTGCTTTTTTTTATAGTATTTATAGGATTTGCTGCAATAAGTGATCTGCCACGTCAAATTTACAAAACGATACCGTTACCTTTCATATGTAAGTAATTGTTAATGATATTAATACTATTTATTTCATTTTAATCTTATTATAGTAATTTTTATTACAATATTAACGGTCCATAGTTGCCATAGTAACTGTCGTGTTGTTTCGGATTTGTTTACCAACACAAGCTGCTTGCTCTCATACAATATGCCCTTCGGTCGAGCGACTGATCCGAGTATGTATAGTGTGAAATGTGCAATTTTACAACATGTCTACAACCCTTAGTATAGTATAGAGCGTCGTTTTGTAATAGTTAAGAAAATAACCCTTATTGTACAATCCTAAGTCGGCCAATCAGAGCGCGACATGTTATAGAACAATCGGGCTGTGTGTAAAATTAAAATCCGAAAGTAATGAAAATAATTTTTATGCTCGAAAAGAATTCTAAACATCGTATTTAATTAGATTAAGGTTTATAGATTAAAGAAATAAGAGAATATTTCATCATCATCATCATTACAGCCCTTCACAAGTTTACTGCTGAACATAGGCCTCCCCCAAAGAATGCCACAAAGCACGGTCCTGAGCCACCTGCATCCATCGACTTCCTGCATGTCTTACCAGGTCGTCACTCCATCTCGTGGGGGGACGCCCTACACTTCGCCTACCGGTACGAGGCTGCCACTCGAGAACCTTTCTTCCCCATCGGTTGCCGGTTTTTCGAGCTATATGGCCGGCCCACTGCCACTTCAGCTTACTAATCCGTTGGGCTATATCGGTTACTCTGGTTCTACTGCGGATATCCTCATTCCTAAGTTTATCACGCAGAGAAACTCCGAGCATAGCCCTCTCCATAGCTCGCTGAGGGACCTTGAGCTTCCTCATCCGGCCAGCAGTGAAGGACCACGTCTCAGTTGACTGAGAGAATATTTAGCGTGATGTAATTTATTTCCCAACCATAGTAAAATTAAAGAATCAATATATCCAAATATTATGAAAATTTGGGATAATTTTGTTAACAACTTTTTGTATTATTAATATATTAAAAAACCTTTATGATGTTCTAATAGAAAACTAAATTACCGATCTAACCGTGTATTATTAGCCTAAGAATTAATCGTAAAAAAGAAAATTGTAAATTATGATAATTGTATAGTGAAACTATTAAATAATAAAGAGGCAAAACAGGCAGTGGCAAGCGGCTCACCTTAAAGTAAAGCTCCGGTCTACCTAAGCGCCTCGGGGCCCGGTAACATTGTAGTAGCAGAACTAGATAGTAGCACACAGAACGTATTAGCAGATAGTAGCAGAACATAGAACATAGTAGTGAAGAAAAAGTTACTACCGAACATCTTGAAGAAATAGTCAAGTGAAAAAAATTTGTGAAGAATATATTGAATAACCTATATTGAACAACCGATAGAGAACAACCGTAGTTGACCAACCGTATTCAACAACCATAGTAAACAACCAATAGTCAGAAGAATTCCGCCGAACAGTTGAGCAGTTGAACCGCTCGCTAATGCCTTGCCATGTATTCTATAGTTCGTGCATTTTGATCGGACAGCCGTCCACAGTATCTCAGCCGCACCCACAAAGATGGCAGTGGACGATCCGCCGGAACCCATAGGTGTAGGACGAGAGCACCTCGCGGAGTATCTTCGACAACATTTACTCCCGAGTTTCGCCCGTCCAGCACATTTGTTGGTCCTTCGAGCCGGATACATCAGTTGATCCTTCGAAAAGTGATAAATCTGTTGGTCCTTCGGAACCGGATACATAGTCGCTACCGTATAGAAGCCGCTAGATTCGCCGAGTCAAGATGCTGATCACCAACTCGCAAGGAAGGGCAGCCAAGGTGTGGAACGTCGATCTGGGAGGAGGCGCATCGGGAAATGCTGCCGCCATCCACTACCAGATGCCGCTACGCTCGCCGTCGACAATAGAGGGCGCCGAGACGCCACATAACATCTTAAAACAGGATTTTATCTTTTTGCCTTATTTAAAAATCAGATTAGAAAAGCGAGATTAAATAAAACTACTTTTACGGATCCTATCGCGTTTAACTTATATTTATTGATTCCCGACGTTTCGAGTACTTTACAGCACCTATATCACGGGGGACTGAGGTGATTGACGTCCCGATGTCAGAGTTAACCCGGAGTACCGTCAGCTTTTTTAATTATTAATTTTGGTCCGACCTACGTAGAATGAACTTACTGTGTCTTGAAGTCTTGCAGTGGTATGTTTGGATTTAGTTTTAATTTTATTAATTACAGGATCCCAAGAAGGTGGTAGTACCCAGCCTCCCTCTCTATTGAAATTAGGATGTTTTTTTAATTTCAATAGCCTCACGTATCATCCTTGGCAGGAATCGATGTTCTTTCGCGAGAATTAGTGGTTTATCAAATCTAATGTAATGGCGGGGGCCGTCTAGGATATGATCACAAACTGCAGACTTCCCGGAACGTTGGTGCTTCACGTCAGCTATGTCTTCTTTAGTGCGGGTTTTTATTGATCGTTTTGTTTGCCCTATATATGAGAGACCACATTCACAATCACGCTTGTACACTCCTGCATCTTGTAGAGGAATGTTGCACTTGACGGATGGTAAGAACTGACTACTCTTCTTCGGTGGCTTGAAGAATGTTCTAATAGATACTCGCTTCAAGATGTAGCCAATCTTGTCTGTGACACCTCTGACATATGGTAGTACAGTAGGCACACCCTCGACTGTGGCCGGCTTCACTCGGTCACTGTGACGTAAGTGCGGGACCCGAAGCTTATTGTCGTGCAGAACCTGCTTGACGTGCTGAAGCTCGGCGGTCAGGTGTTTGCTGTCACAGATCCCTCGTGCTCTCTGTAACAAAAAAATAAAACAGTTAGCTACCGTGGGCAAATCTTTGTGGCGGAGTGTACAAGCTTGATTGTGAATGTGGTCTCTCATACATAACGTAAACAAAGCGAGAATAACAAACAATCTATCAAAACCCACGTAAAATAACATAAAGCTGTCGTGAAACACTAATGTTTCGATTCGATGTGATTCAAGGGCCCCTCAGAAGGAGGTACAATTTTCGGCTTGAACCACTATTGCAATGTGGGAAGGGGAATCGATGGTAGCGAGATGGAAGAGGTTATATCGAGAAACCGCTCACTCGTTTGTGCAGTATAAAGTTCAGTGTAGATGCCAAGTACGGGAGATTCCGCCTAAGTCCTTCTACGAGTGAAGTCATGCTACGAGTGCTACGATAGTATCTTTGTTTTGTCCGTTGTGGTGGTTCTTCTGGTGTAGGCGAGAAAGACGGTGTTGCTGAGAGGCTGCTCTGTGTTAGACTGAGATGTGTAGTGTTGCTGTTGGTTCGCATACTTTGGTGTTATCATGTAATTACGTCCCTCACGTTACACTAGTTGTGTGATTGTGGCAGAGACGTGTTACGGTGTGGTTTAACTGTTGCTCTATACCGGATGTATAGTGCGTTACGCTGTCTTATTACTGAGTAATTACTAAGGCTACTTTTATTGCAAAAAATAATAATTAGGGTTCCGCGAAAAAAATTTAAAACCCATGAAATCCAATTGCAATTTTTTTAAATCCTTTTTTAACTTCTGTCTATTATTTTAAATAGAGTCTATGTAATTAGTACTTGATTATCTATTATATACACAGCATTTGATGTATTACTTTTAACTGAAGGCCTTATAGCCAATGCCACAAGCATTGAAAAAAAAAACCACAATCACATTGACAATTGACATTTGTTTTGTTTCATTCATCGAATTTGTAGTTATTTGAGAGTATGATATTTTTGTAAAAATAAAGTATCTATTAAAATGTCTCTAAGAAAAGTTCTAAATCTAACAAAAGCAACATGCTGCAGAGCTACAGCTATAAATACAACACTTTATTCAAGACTAAATGTTTGTGTATTGGCTCCAAGTGCAGTTAGATTTTACTCGGACAAGAACATAGGTTAGGTTTTTCCGGATAAAATTAACTATTCAAAGATAAATAATATAAAGTGTTAATAGTGTTTAGGGCAATCTTTCAGTTTTCAAGTTTTTGTTAAGTAAATACTCCTCAAGTGATGACATTACAATAAGTGATGACAGTCACTTAAACCGTTCCCTGTGAAAGGCTTAAAATATAAATCTTTTAAGAAAATATTTATGTGCAAAATATAAATGTCTGAATAATATCATATTTTTAGGGCAGAAAGATAAGATGGGACAGGAGCCTGAAAAGGTTGATATTATTGGTCGTCTATTTCCTAAAGCACCTGAAGATGCACAGGAAATAAAAAAAGAGCAGGAGAAATTTGAAAAGGAGAAAAAAGAAAAGTCGGAGGAAAATGAAAAAAGTTGGAGAAGAATGAAAATTGGGTAATATGTTTTTGCTTTTATATCTTAAAACCTTAAAAAGCTTAATTATATTATTAACACTAACCTCTTCATGTCTGATAATTTTTTACCCTTCCTGCTAAAAGAAGGGTGTTATAAGTTTAGCCACTGTGTGTCTGTCTGTTTTTGGCACCATAATTTAAACTGGTGAACGGATTTGGGTGTAGGTTTTTTTATATTTAAAAGTAGGTTTTATTGAGGAGGTTCTTAGACAGTTCTTAGACTTCTTTTGTTGGCTGCGGTGGGGTTTATTGCGGGGGTTTTTAAAATTTTCAATTTTAGTTATTAACAATTGACACTTTTCTTTCATTCAAATATCACAGAAAGAGTTATAGTTATCTTATCTCTATATATAAATATCAATTGCTGTCCGTTAGTCTTGCTAAAACTCAAAAACAGCTGGACCGGATATAATGAAATTTTTTGTATTTGAATGGGTACCTGGATGGTTTAAAAACACACAAATTTGGAACTGGTAGGCGCTATTGTCGAGATCTAAAAATCACCTATGGGAAGCTGGGGCAGATAGCTAGTATTTAATAATTGTCTCCTAGGACAACACTTGTTTCTCATTTGTATGCCATTTGTGATCTGGAATTAAATTTGTGTTTCAATTAGTGGCCTTTTTACATTTTTACTGCACAACTTAATCTTATTCTTAAACTTTTTTTTATACATACATAAACTATAAATAATAAGTTTTTAAATTGTTTTTGTCAAGGGGATATAAAATTTTCAATTGCTTATTCAACTGTTCCTCTTATAAAATTAGTAATTAGTGGGATTATAACAATAAATTATTGAAGTTCATTAGGTTCTTATATTATTATAATAATTGGTTATGAATTATGTTCATCAACATCTTTTTGTTAAAGTTTCCGTATTGATGTGTAAGAAATGTACAGTAGTTGAGTTAGTTTTATCTGAAAAGTAATTACTTATGCGTTACACTCTAATAATTCTACAACTGTAAAATATGTAAGGTTGTCCCGTCCAAGGTTATTTCTTGTCATCATTATTACATTCCTTCACTAACCCACTGCTGAACATACCTTCCCCAAAGATGTCACAAAGCACGGTCCTGAGCCACTTGCATCCATTGACTTCCTGCATATTTTACCAGGTTGTTATGCCATCTTTTCGGAAGCCGCCCCACACTTGGATTACTGATAAAAGGTTGCTGCTCGAGAAACCCTAAAGATTTGGTGTTATTAAGATTTAAGATAGTTAAAGACCATCTTTTTATATATATATATATATATATATATATATATATACACACAGTTATACCTCGATTTAAGCTACCCCGTTTTTTGGAGATACGAGGTTTTTCATTTGCCCACTTTGCTCTATCAGTGTTCAGCTTACAATAAGTTCGAACGTGTTGTGTTACTGAAAATGGAATTGTTTTATGTACGCAATACACATTTGGTTTACAACAAGCTTGAACGTGTTCCTCGTGGAATTATTGTACGTATGTAGTGCACATTATTGACTTGTCTTTAATTATGTCATCGAAAAGATCAAAAAATAAGTCATTTGAACCCTTACTATCTTATATTTTATTAAACATGATTCATCTAAATGTTTGTTTTATTTGGACTCTGGTCCAGATTTCACAAACTATACATATTTATATGCCAAGTTGAACCCCGACTTACGCGAATTCGACTTTCGCTTGGTCCCACCTATCGTGTAAGTCCGGGGTATTACTGTATATATATAGAATATATATAGAAGGTGTCCGAGAACATAATGATCAAACGAAAGGGGGATGTAGACCATGGAAGGACTGTTCCAAAAAAAAATTAAGTCCTTTACCCAATTTGCGTGGTTTAAAAGATAAAGGGTGATTTATAAAGTTTCCAGAAAATCACCCTTTGCGTCAATATTTTTGATGCTGCTGCTGCAAATGAAGACCGATTTTAATTTTTTTTCTGTTTTGTATAGCCTAATTATATGCCTATTATACCTACTATTTTATTTTTCAGTACCTATTACGGTTTGGTAGAAATAAATACATAAAAATGTAAAAGTGTAAAAATGTAACATTAAAGTTTTATCGAGCAAGTTGGACCCTTCACCCTGTAAAAAAAATGTACCCACATTGACCTGGCAACTGTATCCAAAAGTTAGCGCAACTCATTTAGATTTTAAAATGGTATAATACCTGGTAGTTTCATTAGAATATTTTGTAGTATAATTTTTTTTCTCGCAGAGGGTCAATTTTGTGAAAATAACTCAATTAGATATTTTTTTAATTGATTCGTCCGTTCAATTAATATAAAAAAAAAAAATTGTTTTCACGCTGATTTTGGCCAATATAATATCCATAAAAAAGTAAAAAGTAGTTCATTTTTTTATCTAGTTTAGGTATTAAACAAAATACATTCAAAATTATAATACATATGATGCTTCTCAGCTTTAGTTGCTATGATGCATAGGAGTATGTAAGTGCAAGCGAGACTAAAGCTATGGAAGTGACTAGTTCAGGTGGTATTTCCGGTAACCCCTATGGTTTGTAAGCTTACGAATAAAGGAAACAATAAGTGATAATAAAACAATAAAACAATAAGTAATTTCTTTATGATTTTTATTGATAATTTTTACAATACATGATCGAATTGTCGACCTCCTGCTCTAATACAGGCGCGGCATCTTCTTATGAAAGAATGTGTTATATGCCACGCTAATCTTCTGTTATTTGCTTGTTGAGAAAATTCAATTATTTTTTGCCGAAGTTCTACAATATTGGGGATTGGTTTTGAATACACCTTTTCTTTTAGATATCCCCAATAAAAAAAATCCAATGGATTAAGGTCCGGCGACCGTGCTGGCCATAATATAGGCCCCATGCGACCTATCCATTTTTCTGGGAAATGTTCATTTAAAAAGTTTCTCACCTTTATCTTTTAAACCACGCAACTTGGGTATAGGACTTAATTTTTTTGGAACAGTCCTTCCATGGTCTACAACCCCCTTTCGTTTGATCGTTACATTCTGGGACAGCTTGTATATATATATATATATATAATTTTCTGTCGATGTGTATGTAACTGAACTTCTAAATGGTTTTATGTGTGATTCCAAAATGGTTTAGATTCACAATTTTAGCAGATAATTTAGTTCTAGTAGTTTAAAGTAGTTTCTAGTTTATTTATAACTGAACTACTAGAAGACTAGCCCAGACAGACAGACATAGAGTTCAAAATTGGTTGGTTTATTCATGTTTTAAATTCATGCAAATCTCTGAGCCCCTCTGAGCTCAATAAAAGGCAGTTATTGCGATATTGTAGACAGACACTTCAATATTATTTATATATATAGATTTAAATGAAATCATGGTTTTCTACGTAATTATATAAGCGTAAGATAACAACAGCAAGGAGGTGACAAGGTACTGATAGAATCATTATTAAATTTTATTACAGGTTTGCAGTGTTTGGTGGCGCTATGACAGTGATGGGAGGTTGCCTGGTAGTGGAAATGGGTGCACCACGGCGCGACGATGAAGGGAAAATAATTGAAGATGAATATTCAAATTTACCCATAGTGTTACAATATTTAAAACGCACGTGGAAGGAGCTTACTTTTTATGAAAAGGTAATATATTGAAAATAAAGTATCATCATCTACTGTTTGCATACATCAACATCATCAACTTGCCAACTCATAAATAGTCTACTGGTGTACACACAACAATTTAACATCCAACTCTTTGGCTGAACAAATTTAAATTATAAAACTTAAACAGAATTAAAAGTTATGTTCAATACATCATATTATACCATACCATACCATATTATAACATTATACTTAATGTATAAACTTCTAGGAAGTATAACGAAATTGGCAGTTTGAAATCAATAAATTTTTCGACAGTATCTTTAACTTCCTGATAATTTATAAATATATAAAAGTTAAAAAAAATATTGTATAATTGTTTTACCACTTTTATTACAAATTTACCGATTTTTAGAGGTAAAACTAACGGTTTCACTATCTGACATTCAAGACCACCAGATGAACTGTAATGATGATAATAATAATCTTCATTCCATTTTGTAATATCCATAAACTTAACAGTATTTTTTAAACATTATGATTGCCAGCATTTTTTCGTCTGATGAAGATAATTAAAATATTTTTATAAAGAAAACACGAATTTTTTAACCATGCAGTGGCGCTGTGGGAATATCGACTATCGGATATCAGCAGCATTCTTCCTGATAACAGCTGAATAAAAATTAAAAACTGCGATTGCTAACTCACATGCCAAGTGTGGCAACTATGGCAAATAAATTAGTTATAATTTTTTTTATATATGTGACTGTACCAATGGAATACCAATTCCAATCCAATCAATTCCAATCAAATCCAATTGACAATACCAATGGTCAATTCTCGGCCATTCCTATTCCTAAAGTATATTAATGATTTACCTTCCCTTGTAAAGTAGGTGATAATCATGATATAGTATTATTTGCTGATGATACTTCTTTGATTTTTAAACTTAAACGGCAATCATTTAAATGTGACAAAATGAATAATTCTATATCAAATTGGTTTAATGTTAATAATCTACATTTAAACAGAAATAAAACTAAATGTATTAAATTTACAACATCGAATGTTAAAAGTCTGAATACCAATATGTTTTTAAATGGGGAAGAACTGAGCCCTGCTGAATCCACTGTTTTTCTTGACATCACTCTCAACGCAAAGCTTCAGTAGGGCCCCATATATCCAAACTAGCAAGCAGAATAAGTTCTACAGCTTATGCTGTAAAAAAGATTAGAGGTCTCACTAGTGTCAAGACAGCTAAATTAGTTTATTTCAGTTATTTCCATAGCATAAGGTCTTATGGGATTTTGTTATGGGGAAATGCAGCTTATTTAGAAACTATTTTTGTTTTACAGAAGAGGGCCATTAGAGCTATTTACAACCTAAAACCGAGGCTCTTAGAGAAACATTTAAAGAAATAAATATATTAACTTTGGCCTCTCAGTATATTTACGAAAATTTAATGTTTGTCCACAAAAACAAAGGTAGTTTTACTAAAAAAAGCGATACCAGTTTCTCAACACTCCACAGAGCCAGTAATTCATTATTGGGGAAATGTATACACTATTACAACAAAGTCCCAGAAAATATACAAGGTCTCTCTAATTACCAAGTTTAAATATTTTATTAAACAAACACTGTATAATAAGGGTTATTATAATATAAATGAATACATGGTTGATAATAACCCCTGGGAATGAGGTGGTTGCTTCCAAGCTGTTTCTAAAATAAATTTTGTAAATAGTTTGTACAACCATTCATGTAAAATTTACTTTAAAACATAAGTACCGCTGGATTTCTTGCTGGTTCTTCCCAGAACAGAGGATTTTTTTCGAACCAGTGGTAAAGTAAAAAATGACTATAAGAATTAGATCATGGTAGTAAAAGTTATCTATATTCAATAAAAAATTATTCTATTCTATTGAATAAGGGTGACAAATGAACACATAGCCGACCTTTTGGTAAATGAATATTGTGACACATAGACATCTACATCTATCCTCGGTTAAGAATAAAAGTGTAGATTTTCTACCCAAGCAATTGTCACCCCTCTGAGAGATGGAATGCCTTGTTTCCAGTAAAAAGAGTCTCTGGTTCTCTACACTTACCATACAAAATATAGCAACATTCAGCTGCTATTTTTCTATGAGAGGCGTAGTCTTTTCCCGGTCGAGCCGATCCATTCATGGTACAACTACAAAATAGCTTTAGCGTGACTCTACCACGCAAGAAATGATGTTCAGCAGTGGTTTCGTGATTTTTTTCCCTTGCGTTGTAATGGCTTTTTTCTCCCTTTCTAAGATCTGCAATCGGTTCATCTAGCAATAATGATATGTGGTCAGTAGATTAAGGTTGTATGGTAATGGTAATTATTTTACTAAAGAAATGCACCTTCCATTCTTTCAGATGATAAAAGAGCCATCACGTGAGAAACTCTTACCCGATCCTCTACCGCCGCCGTATCAACCGACTTACACTCTCGTCTTAGAGTTCACTGACGTACTTATGCACCCGGATTGGTCCTATCAGACCGGATGGAGGTAACTTGGTTCATGTAACGGTATTATTGTTAGAAACTAAATACGTCTCACTTTTTTTAATGGTATGAGGTTGACAAACGAGCACACGGTTCACCCGATGGTAAGTGGTTGCTGTGGTCCATAGACATCTTCATCTATCCTCGTTTGAAAATCAAAATGCAGATGCGTTGTGATCCGTGATAACGCATCTGCATTGAACAGATGAAATACTTCTTTTCCAGTAAAAAGGGTCTGGTTCTCTACACTCACCATACGAAATACAGCATCATTATGCTGCTATTTTACGCTGATATTCTGTGAGAGCATGGTCCTTCCCTGGGCGAGTCGACCTATTCGTGCAACAAATATACTCTCTCTCTCTAATAGGCTTTACATCGTATAGACACTGCTGAGTACAAGCCTCATGCGCTGCGACAGTGTGATATGACTACTTCATATGTCAGCAAAATATTTTAATTTCTCTTTTCCTCATGATATATGCTTAAAGCATATAAATTACTATTAACATAATATCATTAATGCACGTGAAGATAGTATAATATAGGTTTCTCGCGTACTGTGAAATGCCCGCACCCTTAATTCATTATAATATATTCATCGGCAGGTTTAAGAAACGCCCCGGTGTAGACCAGTTCCTTCAAGCCGTCGCCAGCTCCAACTACGAGGTTGTAATCTTCACTACAGAAAATGTCTTTATGATTTGGCCAGTGTTGGACAAGTTGGACCCAGAGAACAAGTACATTTCATACAGGCTATTTAGGGATTCCACGCATTTTATTGACGGTGTTCATGTTAAGAATTTGGATGGCCTCAATCGGGATCTGTCAAAGGTAAGACTGATACCATGTACACATTGGTACTGATTATTTAGGTATGAGATATCAATTTTGTTTATTTCGTTATTACTAGTATTTCTCTTATCCTTAGTTGAAAAAAAATTGTAGCCTTCCCTGGGGTTCCTATGTTCGGCAATGAACTCGTGAAGGGTTGTAGTGGATATAATGAATAATAGAAGCAGAAAGTCCTACTAACTAGTTATTATAATCATCATCATTACAGCCCTTCACAAGTCTACCATTGAACATCGCCTCACCCAAGAAATGCCAAAAAGCATGGTCCCGAGTCATCCATCCATCGACTTCCTGCATGTCTTTCCAGGTCACCCATCTAGTGGGCGCACTACACTTCACTTATCCGTAGTAGGTTATCTTTTACTACCATCTAGGAAAACATAAGTTATGTGCTTAATGAAAATTTTACTATTGTATATTAGAAATTATCCCACTTCTGATGTTAGAAATAGGAAGGTATTTAAAAAATATAGTGTGACAGCAGATGATCAACATGGTTTCTTGCTTTGCAATTGATTATTACCAGCAGTAAAATAGCATACCACACTATACATTTATTATAGATCAGTTACCTTCCTCAAAACTGTAATATGTCTAAGTCACACATTAGTATAATGTGATGGAGACAGTGAGAGATTAGAGTACCCTTACTTCTTCACATTTTCTACCCTCATTCTTAACAATATCTCCTGCCTGATTCATAATGCAAATATGTGTATCTACATTTATGACGGCTCCGTGCGTGAGTTGCAGCGCTGAAGGCCGCGGGTCTGAATCCCGCACGGATATTTCTACGCCCTACAAATAATTGTCCTGGGCCTGGACGTTAGTCCTTGGCACTTCCCTTCTTGCCTCAGCCAGTATCGGAATCCTCGGAGTCGACATATAGAGTGACGTGCAGTTTCGTTGTCACTTGGAAGAGAAAGCCAAATTGGCCTCTAAAAAGCTTGGCGTGCTCAGTAGAGCGGGACAGTATTTCATGCCGGCACACCGCCTGCAACTTTACAAGGCGCAGGTTCGGCCTCACATGGAATACTGTTCCCATCGCTGGGCTGGGGCTCCCCAGTGCCAGCTTCTTCCACTTGACCGCATCCAGCGCAGAGCGGCTCGAATCGTCGACGACCGTGTCCTTTCCGATCGGCTCGATTCATTGGCACTGCGAAGAGATGTTGCTTCCCTTTGCATTTTCTTTCGCATTTACCACGGGGAGTGCTCTGAGGAATTGTTCAAATTAATCCCAGCTGCCAAATTTCACGAACGCACATCGCGGCAGAACTCCCGATACCACCCACACCATCTGGATGATTGGCGGTTCACCACTGTGCGATTTAGAAGATGTTTTCTTCCTCGCACAACTTCCTTGTGGAATTAATTACCATCAGCGATTTTTCCGGACCGATACGACTTAGTGACTTTCAAGAAAAGAGCCAACTCCTTTTTAAACGGCCGGCAACGCATCTGCAATTCCCCTGGTTTCCCTGGTGCTGCTGTTGTTCATGGGCGGCGGTAGTCACTTACCATCAGGTGAGCCGCAAGCTCGTTTGCCCCTTCTCCTATAAAAAAAAATATTATGTTTGTAAATTGCCACCGTGATGCAGGAAAAAATCCTAGTGTGCACGCAAAATTAAAAAAGATTAGTACTTAATGAATAGTTATTAACAATATTATCTTATAATCACGGGTGATTTCTGCCACCAAATCTGAAATTTGGTGTGTGACAACAGCGTCACCACCAGTGTGAAATAACAGCTTAATGCTGCTGTGTTTCGTATGGTGAATGTAGAGAAGCAGAGACCCTTTTTACTGAAAATAAGGCATTCCATCTAAGTCCTTAGGGGTGACAATGCACTTTACACACTACTTTTTTTATCTATTATATATGTTATTTAATTACTTAAACCACATATATTTCAGGTAATTGTTGTGGACTGGAATAAGCAGGCAGTGAAGTTCCATCCGCAGAACTCGCTTATACTTAACAAGTGGAAGGGCAACGACGACGACACCGCACTCTTGGATCTCGCGAACTTGTTGCAGGGTAAGTTGCTGTTTTAATGTAAATCTTATGGGTCTAGAGTGGAATGTACACCCTGCTAAAAGATTTGGTCATTACGGAAAATCAACGTTGCATATGTCTTCCTAAGTGATGACTTTTATTGGTATCACTTAATGACAAAGTCAAAATATTAAATTACATTGTATCGGCCAACTCGGACAGACCTGTTTTTTGGAGCACTCCTTTGTGCCTCGGGCTGGAGTTTGCGTATACGTCAAAGAGGACATCTGTTCTCGACGCATCGGCAGTCTTGAAGGTTTGGACCTGTCCATCCTTTGGCTACGCGTAGACAGCGACGACCATCCGCGCGTCTACGGGTGCCTCTATAGGTCCCATAGCGGTAATGCCAAAACAGACCGACTCATCGACCACGTCCAACTGGCTACAGATTCCTTGCTACAATAACAGGTCCGATCTGCAGAGATCGTGATCCTTGGCGATTTTAACGCCCACCACGCCGAATGGCTCGGTTCACGTTTAACCGATCATGCGAGGAGATCTGTTTATGACTTTGCTTTGGCATATGGTCTGACACAACTGGTTACTTCGCTTACGCGGATTCCAGATGTGGAGGATCATACACCTTCCCTGTTGGACCTTCTACTGACCTCTCATCCGGACGGATATCAGGTTTCCGTCGATGCCCCTCTCGGCTCTTCGGACCATTGTCTGATCCAGAGTGTGGTGCCACTCATGCTTCCCTCGCGGTTGCGTTCTGCAAGTTGCCGAGGTGTTTGGCATTACAGGTCGGCGGATTGGGACGGAATGCGGTCTTTCTTTGCATCCTACCCATGGGGGCGGGTTTGCTTCTCGCCGGATGATCCCAGCGCTGTTGCTGACTCTGTCACTGATGTGGTGCTACAGGGAATGGAACTATTTATTCCATCATCTGTGGTACCCATCGGAGGCAGATCTCAGCCTTGGTTTGGTCGCTCCTGTAAGACTGCATTACGCAGTAAGCAGGAGTGTGTGTTATCAAGCCTGGGCTGCGGCTTCGGCGACTCGGGATGTAAACACCAGCATGTTTAAAAAGAAGTATAACTTCGCCTCCAGGTCTTTCAGAGTTATTGCCAAGGCAAAGTCAGAGCACATAGGCAGAATTGGCGAGAAACTAGTTCGCCTTCCTTCGGGAACCCGTGCATTCTGATCTCTCGCCAAGGTTGTCCAAGGGAATTTCTGTAAGCCATCTCTATTATCTCTGCACAGGGAGGACTCACTGGGCCACGCCGCAAAAGAGAAAGCCGACCTTTTAGGCTCCCTTTTTGCGTCCAACTCGACTCTTGATGACGGGGGGAACACACCGCCGACCATCCCGCGGTGTGAGTGCTCCATGCCGGATGTGCGGTTCTCACAGAGCTCGGTTTGCAAAGCACTCCTCTCCATGGACATCTACAAGTCGAGCGGGCTTGACGGAATCCACCCAATTGTGCCGACGACGTGTGCTTCGGGGTTGGCACTGGTTCTAACGCGTCTTTTCCAGTACTCCTACTCCCTAGGCGTAGTCCCAAAATCATGGACGACAGCTTTCGTCCACCCGATCCCTAAAAAAGGCGACCGCTCAGACCCATCCAACTACAGGTCTATCGCCATCACCCCCTTGTTCTCCAAAATAATGGAATCCATTTTAAACTGCCAGCTCATGCGGTACCTTGAGGATCACCAGCTGATTAGTGACCGCCAATACGGTTTTCGTCGGGGTCGATCAGCTGGTGATCTTCTGATCTACCTGACTCATAGATGGGCGGAGGCAGTAGAGTCCAAGGGGAGGCGTCGGCCGTTAGTTTGGACATTGCGAAGGCCTTCGATCGGGTGTGGCACAAAGCGCTTCTTTCGAAGCTCCCTTCCTATGGGCTTCGCGATAAATTGTGCAATTGGATCACCAGCTTCCTCGCAGATCGGAGCATCAAGGTCGTTGTAGACGGTGCATGCTCCAACTACAAACCTATTAACGCTGGTGTTCCACAAGGCTGTGTGCTATCACCTACGCTGTTTCTTCTACATATCAATTATATGTTGCGAACTGATAACATTCATTGCTATGCGGATGACAGCACTGATGATGCTCTATACACCGGCCGTGCCAATATTTCTCGGGAAGACGTCGCCGAGTACCGGATCAAACTTGTGTCTGAAGTAGAGTCTTTGCTGAACAAAGTCTCGGATTGGGAGCGACTAAATCTAGTCCAGTTTAATCCTCAGAAGACACAAGTTTGCGCGTTTACCGCTAAAAAGAACCCCTTTGTCGTATCTCCTCAGTTTCAAGGCACTCCCCTTGTTGCCTCAGCCAGTATCGGAATCCTCGGCGTCGACATATCGAGTGACGTGCAGTTCGTGGTCACTTGGAAGAGAAGGCCAAATTGGCCTCTAAAAAGCTTGGCGTGCTCAGCAGAGCGGGACAGTATTTCATGCCGGCACAACGCCTGCAACTTTACAAGGCGCAGGTTCGGCCTCACATGGAATATCTGGGCCGGGGCACCCCAGTGCCAGCTCCTTCCACTTGACCGCATCCAGAGCGGCTCGAATCGTCGACGACCGTGTCCTTTCCGATCGGCTCGATTCATTGACGCTGCGAAGAGATGATGCATCCCTTTGCATTTTCTTCCGCATTTACCACGGGGAGTGCTCTGAGGAATTGTTCGAATTAATCCCAGCCGCCAAATTTCACGAACGCACATCGCGGCAGAACTCCCGATACCATCCACACCATCTGGATGATTGGCGGTCCACCACTGTGCGATTTAGAAGATGTTTTCTTCCTCGCACAACTTCCTTGTGGAATCGATTACCATCAGCGATTTTTCCGGACCGATACGTTTTAGGGACTTTCAAGAAAAGAGCCCACTCCTTTTTAAAAGGCCGGCAATGCATCTGCGATTCCCCTGGTGTTGCAGTTGTTCATGGGCGGCGGTAGTCACTTACCATCAGATGAGTCGCATGCTCGTTTGCCCCCTCTCCTATAAAAAAAAAACCTGTGGTCAGGCCAAGGTCAATAATATTTTTTTTGGTTCTCAAACCCAGGCTCTGTCAACTAATGTGTGGAAACTATGCGGCATTAATACAGCGCAAATGATTAAACTACGTCGTCTTCGCAGGTCGATGTAGTTATCAATAATTAAAATAATATTTTGTTTTTTTTAATGATATAATTCTGAAACAGCGCCATCTACACGGTGTGTCAAGTACTACATCGACCTGCGAAGCCGACATAGTACTTACGACGTAGACGTGGTGCTGTTTCAAAATTACTTCATTAGTAAAAAATCAATAGAGAAAATCAATAGGTGAATACTCCCATTTTAGGGGTTTTCAAATAACTTTACAACTATTGGCAGAAATCTGGTAAAACAAATGTCCACAGATTAACGTTATAAATTTATCTACTGTTGTGTATGTTAATGATTTGTGGCAAAAAGTGTTTTTTTTTTCTTTCATAAAAAGATAAAAGTTTATCACTTATTGTACCGATGACTATCAATAATCTTTTTTCAGCAATCGCTATGTCAAATGTGACGGACGTGAGGGAGGTGTTGACGTATTACAGCCAATTCAACGACCCAATTGCCGCTTTTAGAGAGAACCAGAGGAAGCTGTTGGAACAGATGGAGGAGAAAGAGAGGGAAACAAAGAACGCAGAGCAACCGCTCACGAGGAATTGGTTGAGAAGCTTCACGAGACGCTAGTTCTGTATTTAGTATGAATAGGGAGAGAATGAAGTCACGTATATAAGTGGTAAATTGTACAAGTCTGCCTCATTACACAAATAATTTATTACTTTAAAATAATAAAATGAAAGTAAAAATAAAAAACAAAAAAAATGTATTTTGTTTTCGCAATAAGTATTAGGACATAAATAGCTTCAGGAACTATGTAGGGTTATACATGAAAATCTTTGAAAAGAAACTAACTCGTAACCTTTTGCTGGTATAATAGTTTTTAATCTGTTTAGAAACAAATACAAGCTGATGCTATGATGATGAGTTTTGCCGAGAACTTGACCGGCGGCGGATTGCTGCTCCTGTATTATTGTTTAAATAATGGTTTGAATTGTATCTTGATATATAAAAGTGGTACGATTTGATGAGAACTATTCGTGGAAACGGTGATACAAGTGCTCCAATGGTGATGTTAATCACAAGATAAGGTGCTTGTCTGCTTAGGCGTCTGGAGATACTATGGCCAAATGCCTGCTGGTTCAAGTTTCTATCAAAATCTCCCAAAAACTACGCAATGTGACGCATTAACATAATGTGAAGTAGTGTACTATAAAGGATTATTATCACTTGATACTGAGATAAATGAACACTTAGCTTAAACGACAGGCATCCAAACAAAAAAAGCTGCTGCTATAGTATGGATATGCTTATCACACCATAGAACGTTTATTACACGAAATTACAATAATGTTTTTTTTTTAATTTAAAATAATTTGTTATATAAAAACACGAATGAAAAATATTAACTAATTAGTAAATTAATTCCTAGTATTTATGAATTTTCCTAATATGTATGCAATATTAAAATTGAGGCAATTAAATATGTTCAGTAAATATCGTTTAGAAGTGTTTAGAGTCCTTTGAGTTAGCTAAGTTGACTTTCTACAATTCTTAACGCTAATAGAAAACTTTAAAATGATTGGGAATGACGTATATCTCAACGTTAAGTCACGTGTCTTAACTATCATTCCATATTGTCGCTGCCGGGCCGTTCTTTCGGTGATACGCTTTCTTTATAGAATGGGAGTGACAAACGAGCACACAGTCCACCTGATGGTAATAAGATGCTGTGCCCCATAGGCATTTACATCTGTCCTCGATTACGAATCAAAATGCAGATGAGTTGTCACCCGTGAAGACTAAGATGTAATACCTCGTTTCCAGTAAAATGGGTCTCCGGTTCTCTACACTCACCATACAAAACACAGCAGCATTGAGCTGCTATTTTACGCTGCTATTCTGTGAGAGCGTGGGCCTACTTCAGTCGAGCCGAATTATTCGTGCTACAAGTATACTATAGCCGTAGCGTGGCACTACCACGTACTCAGTAATGTTCGCGTTAAATTCGGGTGTTCTTGGCGTTACGCCAAAATCGGAGTTCGCCACGACTAACGCTAAAGAAAACTATAAAAATGAATGAAATCAACGCGAAATCACGTGGACACGTTAACGTTATTAACTACACTTCCTTAACGTTCAGAAATGTCATTCTCATTCCTTTTTTTAATAGTTTTCTATAGAGTTAATGATGGCAGGAAGTCATTTTGGCTAACCCTGTTGATGACCCTGTAATCTTAAACTGTAATCGGTGATCAACGTTTTCATGAAAACTGCCATTAACTAAGCCCACATTTGAGAAATCTATGGCCACTGACCAAAAGACTCAACTGGAAATCACACTGTAGAATCAGATATGTTAGACTTGACAGAAAGAATTTGTGTTTATGCACACTCATGGGCGTGAAATTCTACATAAAAAGAAAACTGTACAGTATAACTAAAAGAACTAATGTATTATGAAATAAAAACAATTTACAATTTCATATTATTACAATAATTATAGTTTAAGCATGATCCAGTATGTGAGTCCTAATGAACATCATCATCATTATTACAGCCAGTTCTATGGACTTCACAAGTCCATAGAACATAGGTCTCGTCCAAGGAATGCCATAAAGAATGATCCTGAGCCATTTGCATCCATCGACTTCCTCCAATCTCTTAAAAGGTCGTCACTCCATCTAGTGAGGGTCGGCCTACACTTCTCTTACCAGTACGGTGAACATGTTAATGACCAGCGATATGAACATTTAAAACAAATTAACCTGGATCATTTATCTAACAACTATGGTTTTGGGCGAGTATGCTCAAACTATCAATGTGTATTGTGTACATCTCTAGCGCCTAATCCTATTATTGAACGCGACTGGCACGAACATTGGCGTCTACTTTCTTATTTTAAGACTGGTTTTCATTATTAAAAATAAATTTGTTGATAAAAAAAATCTTTTTGATTACGTTACACTGATACTTTATTGTATGTTCCTGCATTTCTCTTTGACTTTGTGTAAATAGAATGGTACTTAATAGAATTTGCTATTCTAAAATTTTACATATTTACCGTAATTGCTATACAAATTCATTAAAATGCAGTATGTTCTAAAATTTTACCTGCATTTATAATACTCTTTTTACAGAATAATCCTGTCTACTTAGTCAAATGTCTTATAAATAAGAGCTGTTAATTATAAGACATTTGGCTAAGTACACAGACTTACAGCTTCTTGTACAATGAAATTGAAACATTGTTAATTGGAAAAATATGTTAATAACTTGTTATATGTTGTGTTTCTGAATTAATGTGCAACTATTATAGTGACTGGCAGTGTGTCTGCGCGAGTATGTATATGCGATTTAGTCATTTTAGTTAGGAAATATAGTTGTTTACAAAATTGTGTTATTTTATTTATTATCTTAACAATATAATGGCTCAATCGAGGCGATCTACGACTTTTTTGCCTTTGCCACCAGGGCGGCGCCACTTACGAATGAGGTGAAATATTTGACAACTTTCATAGTAGGTGAAGGTAATTTGTTAGAACTGTATTATTTTTTTGGAACGATGTCCTTTATCGTACGGTACGAATTTGACGGATGGGGGTTAGGCGAGAAAAAGTGTAAGATTTTTCCGTCACGACCCCCTTTCTATAGTGCGATCGAGATGGAATAATATCCATCTCCCCCGCACTTTTTCTTATTTTGCCATGAAAGAAATACTATTTTAAATGACGCTTCGTTTTAATAGACGTTAGTAATACATTTATTTGTATTTATTAATCAATAATATAATATGTTTATTAATAATAATATACGACGAAAGGAACTTCGTCCTGTATCAAAATGTATTGGGGGGCCAAATGAAAAGTAAAGAATTTTCCCAAAGAAAAGAAAAACGCTAGCATTTAATTAAATAATTATATATTGATTACAAGCTATTACTTACAATTAATACTCCTAGGAACTAAACTAGCCAGCCAAACAATTTAAATCAAATAGGTATACAATTTTGCACGCCTCATAACGAAAAGCCTTATTAGGTAGTGTAGTATATTGTGGGTAGACGGATATTTTGTGTGGATACTGTACCTTCATAAAAATAATAAAATCAGTGTTGAACCAGCTAGCGTTTATTTTATTACATGGTGGCAGCGGTGTTGAAAATAAATTACATAGTCAATGTAAAAGTAACATTGTTGATAAGGGTACTTATTTTTGATGCAAATTGTGTACTTTGTGTAAAAGTAAGTGATGGAACACGCGCGACCTCCCGTAGAATTAGTGCTCGAAGGCGGCCCCGCTGCTCGAGCAGACTCATGGCGCAAGTGGCGGAAACAATTTGAGGTGTTTCTTAAAGCCTCCGGAGTGGCTAACGAGGAAAGTTCAGTGCAGGCTAGTTTACTGGTCAACCTCATTGGGTCGGCGGGTTACGAAATCTATTCGACCTTCACGTACCTCAAGGACGAAACTGAAGACGATATTAAGTGTTTGTTGAAAAAGTTTGATAAGTATTTTGGGACAAAACCTAATGTCACGTTATCGCGGTTTAAGTTTTTTACACGAGGCCAAGAGGAAGGCGAAAATATAGATCAATATGTTACTGCATTAAAATTGCTAAGTCAATCTTGTGAGTTTGGTAATCTAAATGAAAGCTTAATACGGGACAGAATTGTCTGCGGTATCATAAGTAACATTGTACGTGATCGGCTACTTCGTACGGATGATTTAACATTAGAAAAGGCGGTCCAGATATGTCAAGTGGCAGAAATATCGAAGGAGGAAAGTTCATACATCGAGAATAGTCCTGGCGGTAGTGAAATGCGAGTTGATGCTGTAAGGGATGCAAGCGGTCGCAGCTACGGCGGTGTACGACGCAGCCGTGGAGGGTCGCGCGGAGCGAGGCGCGGCGGTCGTGGTCGCGGACCGGTGTTCGGTGCCGGGTCGGCGGCTTCGCGAACACGCTGCTTGTCATGTGGCAATGGTTGGTGCTCCACCGACGACCGGTGTCCGGCGCGGGATGCATTGTGTTATGTGTGTGATAAAAAAGGGCATTTCGCTAAAGTGTGTGTGCATAAATATACATTACGCGATAAGGTTTTAAACTTGAATGTGTGTGAGCCCGAATACATGTCAGATGCCGAAATGTTCTATGTGGACATGATATTAAGCCAGGATAAAAAATGTAAGTTACCTAAAGAATGGAATGTTATTTTTCAATGTAATGGTAGACAAGTGCAATTTAAACTAGATACAGGTTCTATGTTGAATGTAATTTCGAAAAATGATTATTTAAACTTAGGCATGTCGATTCATAACCTAAAATATTTTAACAAATGTGTACAATCTTTTACTGGTAATAATTTACCTATTCTGGGCATGTACGAATTACCATTTATTTATAAAAGTAAACATTACATTTTACCATTTGTGGTAGCAGATTTAAACTGTCAAAATGTTCTGGAATTGGAAGGCTGTGTCATGTTAGGACTCGTATCCCGTGTTGACGGTATAAATATACATAAATATTCTGATCTCTTCGAAGGACTGGGTAAGTTACCTGGACAGTATTCTATTGTCGTAGATAAAAATGTACAGCCAGTGATTTGCCCTACTAGGAAAATACCACTGGGGATGAAAGACAAACTCTTAGCAGAGTTACGTAGGATGGAAAAATTAGGCGTTATCAGGAAAGTTACTCATCCTACGGAATGGGTTAACGCTATTGTGCTAGTAGCAAAAAAGAATGGTGATATTCGTGTGTGTTTGGACCCGAGACCGCTTAACCGCGCGGTGCGGCGCGCGCATTACTCGCTGCCCACGGTGAGCGAGCTGGCAGCGCGGCTGCGCGGTGCTACGTATTTCAGCGTGCTGGATGCGCGCTCTGGTTTTTGGATGGTTCAAATTGATCCTGCCAGCGCAGATCTTTGTACATTTGGAACACCGTTTGGTCGTTACCAGTTTCTAAGGCTACCGTATGGAGTAAATTGTGCTCCAGAAGTATTTCATGCAAAGTTAAGACAATATCTGGAAGATTTGGAGGGTGTTGACTCTTTTATTGATGATGTAATAGTATGGGGGAATACTAAAGAACAACATGACTTCAGGCTAAAATGTTTACTGAATAGGGCTAGAGAAATTGGTATAAAATTTAATAAGGAGAAATGTAAGTTTGGAGTTCGAGAAATTGTTTATTTGGGTCATAAATTCGATAAGAATGGGATAAAACCAGACGAGTCTAAAGTTAAAGCTATTATGGGTATGCCGTATCCTACAGATCGTAAAGCATTGGAGAGATTTATGGGTATGGTGAATTATCTTTCCAAATTTATTCAAAACTATTCGGATAGTGTGTCCGTGCTTCGAAGTTTATTAAAAAAGAATTCTGAATGGCTGTGGGAGCCACATCATTCAGATGCTATAGACAGTCTTAAAAATAAAATTTCATCTGCACCAGTGTTAGCACTTTACTCGACGGAGCTACCGGTGGTGGTGTCGGTAGACGCGAGTGCTAGAGCGCTGGGAGCGGTGCTGCTGCAGGCCGGCCGTCCAGTGGAGTTTGCTTCGTTAACGCTCACCGACACTCAGACCCGGTACGCACAAATTGAAAAAGAGATGCTGGCAATAGTGTTTGCGGCAGAAAGGTTTAAACAGTACATTTATGGCAGGTCAGATGTTACCGTACAAACTGATCACAAGCCCTTGGAGGCATTGTTCAATAAAGCGTTGTCATCTGTACCGATACGACTACAACGCATGATGATGAGGATACAGGGATACGATTTCAAGGTGGTGTATACTCCGGGCAAATATATGTATATTGCCGATACGTTATCGAGGGCTCCTCTGCCGGAGTTTATGCACGATCGAGTGTCTGAGGATGTTGAGACGCAAACATGTTTTATGATAGAATGTATGCCGTTTAGTAGAGAAAAAATAGAAAGAGTTCGAAAGGCGACAGAGGTTGATGAGGAATGTCAGTTATTAATTAAGTACATATTAAACGGCTGGGCAAAAAATGAGCATAATGTTCATAAAAACGTTAGAAAGTTTTGGTCATATTGTGGAGAACTCCAATATGTGAATGGGTTAATATTAAAAAATTATTGTATATTTATTCCGCAAAGTTTACGAGCCGAAATGATTGTAAAAGTACACGAAGGTCACCTAGGCATAGAGAGGTGTAAGAGGCGCGCGCGTGATGTAATGTTCTGGCCAGGGCTGTCAGCGGACGTGGAGCGCGCCGTGCGCCGCTGCGAGTCGTGTGCTCTGCATGCACGGGCTCCCGCGCGGGAACCACTACTTCAACATATCGTACCCAATGCACCTTGGCAAAAACTTGCCTCAGATATTTTTGAGTATAAAAAGAAATACTGTCATATTAGTAGACTATTTTTCTAATTATGTTGAAGTTCAAGAAGTAAATAGTATAAACAGTAGAACAATTATTCACTTTATGAAGGAACAATTTTCGAGGCATGGCATCCCTAGCGAGCTTGTTACTGATAATGGGCCGGCGTATAGTTCACAAGAATTTAAAAAATTTCTTAGGTTATGGGAGGTTAAGCATATGACTTCATCACCTCATTACTCCCAGTCAAATGGGAAAAGTGAGCGCACAGTGCAAACTATAAAAAATCTACTCAAAAAATGCATCGATTCTGGGGATGATTTCTTTATAAGTTTATTGAACTATAGGAGTACGCCTAGGTATGGAATGGATTCTCCGGCACAAATTCTGATGGGAAGACGTTTGTGTACGAAGCTACCGATTAGTGATTTTCTATTAAATGAAACGATTGATAGAAATAGAAATTATAAAATGTTAATGCAACAAAGAAAATATAATAAATTACAGTATGATAAGTCGGCCAAGCCGTTGCGGACTTTATTACCAGGAAATAAAGCAATTTTAGTTGATAAGGGAAATAGGAAACCCGTTTCTATTATTAGACCGTCGCAGGAACCACGTTCGTTCATAGTACAGGATTCGCGCGGACGCCGATTGAGGCGCAATCGCCGTCACTTGATAGTACGATATGCAGACAGCGATGAAACGCGTCCCGCCGCCTGCGCTCCGAGTGCAAGTAACGCTAAGTCAGCTGAGTTAACGGCCAAGGCTGTAGCTTCAAACCCAGAACAGTTTGACCCTTTGTATTCGACAGATAGTAAAACGGATACGGAAGGTCATAGCCCATGCATTAATCCTCCAATAACTAGGTCAAAAACACGACTTATGGCTAAGATGAAATATGCGATGAAAGAAAAAATATAATAGTTGTTTTGTATAAAAGTTATTTGCAAACTAATATACATATTCATATTAAGTGTATATTTTTAAGGCTCTGTATTCTGTAGATGTTGACTTATTTTCGTTTATTTTTAGGTTTACTATTGTTTTGTAATTTCATTTAATAATTATAAAACTAAATCATAAAACATAGAAGTGATTTATATTATGACATATTATATAGAAATATGTTCATATTACGCCTGGGTGGCTTCGTTATTATGATATTTATATTAATTTTGTATGAGTTTGTATTTGGTATACGGTTCATTTCTACAGTTAGCGTTATCTTTCAGTTGTTTTCATTATATAGTTTTTTTTTTGTTATAAATCTTTTGTACTTCAGTGTTCATTATAAAAGGGGAAGGATGTAGTATATTGTGGGTAGACGGATATTTTGTGTGGATACTGTACCTTCATAAAAATAATAAAATCAGTGTTGAACCAGCTAGCGTTTATTTTATTACAGGTAGTGTTTTACTGTCGACACGCCAAGGTCAAGCGATTTAGTGTTCTTAAAATGCCTCTTATCACAACCATATCGCACTTATACCACAGAATAATGCTTATACGATAATATGAGTAGCCGTAACAAGAAAACACTAATTAATCCATCTTATATTTTCTACAAAATCATTTTATATTGCTACTTTGAAAAAAAATTACGTGGACGTCAGGATGTTGATTTTGTATGTAGTCACCATCGAGCATTTAAAATGCTCGATGGTAGTCACGATAACTCTCGAAGTAATTGACGTATAGGGTTCTTTTATTAGCTTCAGAATTACATCAATTGGTTTCCTATTTCATATGAATAGCCTAGTACGCGTAGTTTGTTAATAAAATGATTTTCAAGTTTATATTTTATTTAGAGGCGCTATTTTTTTTAGTTCTTGGTAGACAAAGGACACATGTATTAACAGCCTATATCGATTTTATAGTTTGTGTAATCGATTTATTTTGGTAAACATTATTAAAAGCTTTTAGAAAAATTTTACTTCGCAAATATCCGCGTTATAAAATAAAATGATGTGTCTTACCTAGTATAGTCTTACGTAGAGTCTATATCACCTGAGGATGCCTCGTGTAGAGGCGAAACACGTGTCGTATTATCGTCAGTGGTGTGTCTTGCCTAGTGTAGTGGTGTTGGGAGTAGCGGTGCTGGGATTAGTGGTGATGGGGATAGTGCACGCAATTGAGGGAGGGCGGGAGGTGCTTTTCATACTAGGTAAGACACATCATTTTATTTTATAACGCGGATATTTGCGAAGTAAAATTTTTCTAAAAGCTTTTATATAATGGATTTCCGCAAAGTAACGCCTGATTCTATTAATTATAAACATTATTAATTGTTTCCCTGTAGGTGATACTACCTGTTAAAATAATAGAACGCTAAATTTAAAACACGTAAATAATAAATATTTTAAGTCAGGAATACAACTTATTTTTTTCATGAAAATTTAATGAAACGCTCACAAGGCGTGCACTTCTGGATTTTCCAAACTATTCTTGCCTTTCGTTCTGCGAACTTATTTATTATCATTCATAGCTGAAGACGATTTCACTTTTTCTAAATTTTCTGCCTCTATAGACAATAGCGACAAGTCTAATAGCCTTTTCTGTCGCATAGAAGTCCTTAGAATTTTTTCTTATACACTCTCGGGGCCCCGTATCATTGATACGGCTGATACGGCGGTAGCTACGTCCCTGGCCACACTTGATGGTAAGCGATTACGAATTTCGGTTGCGATGTCGACCATTTAAAAAGGAGTCGATTCTTTTCCTGTAGGTCTCTAAATAGTATTCAGTTTGGAAAACTGTTGGTGACAGTAAATTCCAGTGTGGTCGTGCATTATATGAATCTCCTGGAAAGATACCAACAAAGTCCTTGGGCCAGTCAGCATCAAATCCAGTCCGAAAGAGAAGCTATGGTGGAGCGTGTGAATCTCACACTACAGGCAATCACCGAATGGGGCGGTGCCAATCTTGTGAAATTCAACGCCTCCAAAACACAAGCGTCTCTTCACTGCAAAAAGGAGCCGGCTTACATTGGCTCACTGGAATATACCGACCGCCTTCAGTTGTTAGGGTTTGAGATATCCTCAAATCTGAACTTCGGGCGGTTCATTAAGTCCAAGGCCAAAGCAGCTGCAAGGAAGCTGGGAGTCCTTGCAAAGGTGCGGTGATACTTCACACCGGGACAGCTGCTTACTTTATATAAAGCGCAATTCCGGTCTTGCATGGAGTATTGCTGCCATATATAGGCCATAAATGCCACCTAGCAGCTTTGGACTCAATGGAAAGGCGTGCTAAGAGGCTTATTGGTGACCTGAATTTGGTTAAAACCAAAGTCGCTAGCCTTTCAGTTTTCTACAGGATGCATTTCGGAGTGTGCGCAGGAATTGCATAATTTAATTCCTCCCTCTCCCTTCCACCGTCGGACAACCAGATGTTCGGCCAGTCTCCACCCTTTCGTTGTTGACTTACCACGCGTTCGAACCAAACGGTTCGCCACGTCGTTCATCATGCGTACAGCAAAAGAGTGGAATAAGTTGCCAGCATCTGTCTTTCCATCTGATTACAGTGTCTTCAAGGTAAGAGTGAATAGGCTTTTGTTAAGTCAGTGCGTTTCACCATCTTAAGCTACATCACCACTTACCATCAGGTGGGATCGTAGATAAGCGCTGGCTTAGAAGAATATAAAAAAAGTATGGTGGTATAATATGACAGTAAAAAATAATAAATTTCCTATTATTTTATTGTATCATCGTCACTATCAGAAAAATGTAGATTTAATGCGAAAGACGACTTGTCAACCGTCTCCTCGGCTGGATTTGTCCATAACTCCAAAAGACCTACGTCTAGTTCCTCCTCCTCAAATGCCTTGAATATCTCATTCTCATTGAACTGGTCTTTCCCCTTTATATATTTCCTATTCTGTACGATTTTATAATCATCAGGCACAGATTTCAAATTATTCCAAACGTGGGAAATATCTTCTATGGATGAAACTTCAAAATGCTTCCTTTCTAGTTTATAAGATTTACACCATTCATCTATGCGTTGACAACTGTCGTCTTCCATAAAAATTTCCAAGTGCTCAGGGAATATAGTGTGGCAAGTTATATCGCCTAGAGAATTCTGCATCAATATGTCAAATTTGTCATCACGTTCCACGATGAGATTTCCGGTGATAGCTGTGTGGAGTCTTCCATCTATAGGATTGTACAGATCGTAACATAGCAGCTTCTGCCGGGCGGACTTTAAAGTGTTTAATATGCTTGGAGGACGATAAGGTATTGTCACAGTAACTTGATCGGATTCTTTTGTTACTCTGTCATTGCTGTTTGGTATAACGCACATGTCCTCGCACCACTGACTACTAAGGCAAATTAAATCTTTATTGAACTCGAAGTTGCATTTCGATATATATGTCGGAACACACTGCATGCCGTGAGTCCATCTATTGACAGGTTTGGGTTTATGCTTATTTAAGTATCTCAAATCCATAAGAAACAGATGGTGATCTGTGCCAATGTACAAAGACTGTCCTTCTGTTGGTATGGCGCAACTAATATTGTTGCATCCAACTTCATCTGTTACATCTCGGAGATTTTTCCAAAGATAAATCACATCGTTTGATCTTTTATCATATAAAGTTATGTTATCTGTAGAAACATGAGTGTAAAAGCCTCTTTCCGAACTTAGCACTGTGCTCCAATCGTTAATGAGATGTCTTTTAGATTTTAATTTGACACTTCTTCCAGTCATTCTATCTAAGTTTACAATAGTTAGATTGTTGTCGAATGTAGTCACATACAGAATGTTTTTGTGATAATCATCAAATGATATGCCTGTATATGGTGTTTCGGAATCTGCGGACTTAATTTTTTCAAACTTAATTTCGTCGTCGTGTAATAGAATTTTTAATATAAATACTTTTTTTTTGGTTCGCAAAGCTACAATATTTTGTGAGGAATGGATTGTTTCTAGGATGTTCATTCCTTCACCGCAATCAAATGTGGCTTCAGGGCTTGATTTTTTGGTCAAATTGTTCTTGTCGAATTCAGATATATCTGTGTAAAGAAAGATAACGAATCAATTCAATTTTATTTATTGCCAAAATGTAGTACATAATATAATGATCTTACTAGTTAATTATGTTAGGCATAAATGGTATGGTTCATACTCTCTCAATGCTAGCACCGTACATGCACGCACTAACGCACACACGTACTCACTCACTCACGTACGCATGCACACATCCACTCTCTCTCTGTCTCACACACACACACGCACACACACACACACACACACACACACACACACACACACACACACACACACACACACACACACGCACACACACATACAATTTATTTTATTTTTCTGTATGTATACCACCTTTTGTTATTACTACACTATAAATGTATCACTGGTTCATGGAATTTTGACAGATTTGTTCATTTTATTTTACATTTATTTTATCATCACACGCATACATTTCTCTATAAAATTCGCTCCATCGCTGCATGACGTCCGATTTTTCTGAGAGGACGTCATTAGTTCTCGAAAGCACTTTGTTCATTCTTAAGGCCGTCGCACCACTTCGGGTCCTTCCAACCTCTTTCCAGAAGAGTTTGGAGTTCTCCTTAAAGTTGTGCGACAACCTTTCGTCCGCTTCCATTCTACACCTTTCACGCACTTCCTCAATCAGTGCTTTCGTGTGAACTTTCTGCAGCCTATATCTTTCTTTCATCTTCTCTCTCATATCCTTATCATTACTAGAGGCCAAGTAGTCTAACATGCTTTCTTCTTCTTCTTTACAGCTTCTTTCACTTCATCATTCCATCATGCATCTCTTCTTTTGAGGGATCCGGGGATGACGCCGTGACTGGTACGCCAGACCCGGACCTCGATGACACTGAGGTCATCAGTATGAAAGAGATTGAACGTGCGATTCGAAGTTTGAAATGTGGTAAGGCTGCGGGACTAGACAGAGTCACTGCTGAAATGGTCAAGTATGGTGGGCCTCGCGTCTGGGACAGCTTCCGTCTGCTGTGCAATTTGTGCTGGCGGACGGGGGATGTCCCGGATGATTGGCGATCCGCAGTCATTGTGCCTTTATATAAAGGTAAAGGTTCACATTTTGACTGCGTTTGCTATCGGGCGATCAGCTTGACCAGTTTAGCAAGTAAAGTTTACTCGAAGGTTTTGACACGTAGGATGCAAGAGAAATCGGAAAGATTTCTATAGGAGGCACAATGCGGATTTAGACCTGGAAGAGGATGCACGGATCAAATGTTTTCTCTCCGCATGATCACGGAAAAGCTTCTGGCTGCTAACCAGAAGATTTTCTGTGCTTTTGTGGATCTTGAGAAAGCATTTGATAAGGTTGTAAGGAAGAAAATGTGGGAACTGTTGCCGGGGTATGGTGTGGATGGTCGATTGCTAAGGGCTGTGCAGTCTCTTTACTGTGACTGTAAAGCCTGTCTGCGGATAGGGCATGACCTGTCACCTATGTTTAACGTCCAAACGGGCGTAAAGCAGGGTTGTGTCATGTCTTCCTGTCTGTTCATACTGTATCTCGACAGCTGTTTACAGTAGCTGAAAGATAGCTGTTTGGGTGTGAAATTGGGTGACATAAAAGTAAATTGTCTGCTGTATGCTGATGATGCAGTGCTTATTGCAACATCAGAGGCAGAACTACAGGCATTAGTCACGTGTATGAAAGAGGAATGTGAAATTAAAGGTCTCCGTTTGAATGCTAATAAAACTAAGGTTCTGGTATTTGAAAGGGACGAAGAGAGAACGAAGTGTGAAATATGGGTAAATCAGGAATGTCTAGAACAGGTAAATGAAATTGTATACTTGGGGAGTGCTTTTAGCCGGGATGGAAGATGTGATTTAGATGTGGACAGGCGTGTCGCTGCCGGGAACAAAGTCAATGGCGCCCTGACTGCGTTAGTCAAACAAGGCGTAGCGAAGAGTGCACGCCTTGCAATACATAACGCAGTGTTGGTACCGACTTTGTTATATGGCAGCGAAACCTGGGTATGCCAGAAGAAGCATAAAAGTAAGTTGAATGCAGTGGAGATGCGATCTCTTCGTAAAATGTGCGGCGTTACTATGGCCGACCGAAAGCGAAACGAAGAGATTCGCAATATGGCAGGTTTGAAAGATGACCTTATCACAAAAATTGATAAGGGCGTGCTTCGGTGGTTTGGGCACGTTGAGCGAATGAGTGAAGACCGAATGGTGAAGAAAATATATAGCGCGAAAGTTAATATTAAAAGGTGTCGAGGTAGAACGAGACTAACTTTCGAAGACCATGTGAGAAAATTGCTCGAAAAGGGTAGGGTCAAGAGTACTCGGATAGCTAGACGTGCATGCATGAAGAAGATAATGAATCTGAAAGAAGCGAAAGAGGTTTGTAAGGATCGTGACACTTGGCGATCTGTTCTCTCTGGCTACCCCGTCAGGGATTGTGCGTGAAGATAAGTAAGTAAGTAAGTAAGTTTATTTTATATTTTTGTTAATATTTTTTCTCTTGCTGTTTATTGTCATCTGCCTCATACTCTTGGCTGCACTGAAAATCAGCGTTACGAATTGATGTATGTTCATTCACTTCAATTCGTGACTTAAAGCTGAGTGGAGACCATTTTGGTGCATATTACGTTTATTTTATTCCTTCTTTTTTTAATATTTTTTAGTTGAAAAAATTGTTCTATTTGATTATATTTTTTTGTTTGTTATAATTTATGTGCCAAATAAACTTATTTCTTTCTTTCTTTCTTTATGTTATGAATTTGAAATGTTAAGTTCAGCTGGATGCAAATCTAAACTTACAACATAGCCATGGACAGATGCGCTGGATACACAGGTACAATTACTGTATTTAGTCACAGTTTTATTTCAGCTAGTAAAAGTTGCGGGCCTCGCTTACTGTACGGAAGATTTGACTAAGGCTCAATTTACATTGTGGCGGAATGGAATGGAAAGGAAGCGTCAATTTCGCGTAGTTGGACGGTTACCGCGGATTCCACAGACTGCGCTGACAGTAGCTACGGGAATTCTCGAGAATGCACGAGAATTCCCCGGAAGACGCGCGAATTCTTTTTTGGCTCATATCTAGTTTGCATGTTATACAATTAACATAAAATTCATTTTACCATGTACAGTTTCGTTACAAAAATTCGCTTCCATTCCGTTCCGCGACAATGTAAATTGAGCCTCAATCGTCTCATTTGGCTTGGAGACTAACAATCGTAATACTACACTTATTGCATCGAGGCAAAATTTTGGGTTATTTTCAAATGATTAAAAAATGTATTATTTATAAATTGCTTGTTTAATTGTTTAATATGTACTTATTATTATTACCTACATACCAACTCCAATAGAAAGGGTACTACATAACTACAACAAAATAAACTTACACAATTTACTGAACTCGCTGTGTAAGAGATAGACCCTCCAGTGTATGCAGATGAGCTGCATGTTGCCCCTACCAGCATAGTACCAGTTGTACGAGCTGTCAAAGTGCGGGTCGGGATCGCTATCCAAATGCATAGCCATATCCACTAAATGCTTCGGACAATGTACCACTTCCTCATTCAAACTTTCGTATTTGGATATCATGTTACTGCATGCTGTAAAACAGAAATGGTTTACTATTATATATGTTTTAACTCACAAAGGCAAGCAAGCAATAGTTGTAGTTTTGATGTATAAAAACACGCTCTCTTGTGTGCATAACTACAGGTAGTATTGGTAAGCTCATCTTTGTTTAACAAATCAATATGTTTCATTGATATGTTCCAGTCCTAGGTATGTTTCAGTAAGAGGTGAAATAAAAATATATTTCGTGTTCAATATTTTTTAACCTACATCATAATAAACTTACTACAAATTAAACTATTAGTGTAATATCCACACTAGGATTTTCTCCTGTATTGTGGTTTGCATCTCCTGTATCCAGTTTACATACATAAATTTCACAAACATCCAGACCCGGAACAATTATTTGTAGGTCATACAAATACGTGTTCCATGCGGGATTCGAACCCGTGGCCCTTATCGCTGTAACTCATTGTTAAGCCACTGCACCATGGAGCCGTCAAATCAAATCTTTAACCATTCATTGTCACTATCATCTTGCAAATTTTCTTCTCCCAAATTCCGTTCAACAGTTAACTGGATAATAACCTAAAGGATATAGTTAAACATTCAAGACAAACTGAATTAACTAGCTAGTAGTAGAGTGTAGCAGTAGTAGTAGTAGTAGTAGTAGTAGTAGTAGTAGTAGTAGTAGTAGTAGAGTGGTAGACTGGTCGGGTTTTTAACTTCTGCCTAGGAATCTATCTGATTTGGTACCACCATATTAAGAATTTCCTCTACTAAGCAGCCATGCTAGTTTAATGTATCCTTTCTAAAGGTTATGAAAGCAGAACAGTTACAGGCTGTAATGTATTTATTATTAGTCTTCATGGATGATAATGAGGGCATCCACGACTTTTTGTGCCACCAGGGCGGCGCCACTAGAAAGTGAGGTATAATATTTAACAGATTTCATAACAGGGAACTTAATTTGGTCGGAAAATGTAAAAGTTATTGACTTTCTGTACTATTAGCTATATTTTAAATTAATAAGATTAAAAATAAATAAAACAAACCACAGATATTCACAAAAGTAGAAAAATTAAAAAAAAGTTAAAAAAGTGCAAAAAATTAAAGTACAAACCACTGACTCATTGTTTTGTGTATTAATATAATACTCTAGAAACTGATAAGTTTTATTAAAAAACAACTTCTCAATTAAATTACATTGTGTAACAAAAAACTTTACCTCAGTGTCAACTAGCGACATCTGGTGAGCAGAAACTTATTAGCCCTCAATGCATGAGACCAAAGTAGCAGGTGTCCATAGGCTATTGCAGCAAATAGCCAACAAGTAAACTGTTAACTTCTTTGCTACTCTCATATTATAAAAAGATTATATGCTACAAGCACAAAAAGGGAAGGGAAAGAAATTTGTGACAAACAAAACAAAAATGGAAGGAAGGTCAGGAAAAGTATAAATATTGCATAATCAATCCTATGGAAACCACGAAATAAGCTAGGGTACAAAGAATAAGAAAATCTGAATCACAAACACAAACTAATTGCAATTATCTAGTCTAATATTATTGGAATGCTGCAAGGATAAATTGATATATTTTAGCCGACTTCAAAAAAAGGAGGAGGTTCTCAATTAGATTGTATTTTTGTTATGTGTGTTACCTCAGAACTTTTTTTTAGATGAACCGATTTTGATGATTCTTTTTTTATCTGACATCTTGTGCTTCTAATGTGGCCCCATATAAATTTGATCAAAATCTGACTAGTAGTTTTTGAGTTATCCTTAATAATGCGTATTTAATTGACTTCAACTACATTGATGATGTTTTCATTTCATTTATATTGATGTTGGTTGTACAAAATTTTTAATTTTACCACTTGCTGCCAATTCACAACATTCTATTGATGAGCCTTGGTAGCTCAAGATAAGCCATGATAGCTCAGGGGTAAGCCCTCGCTGTAATTTTACAGTGCGCGAGCAACTTAACTTCGATCCCCGCCAGCACCAATGAAATTGTTAATTTCAATTTTAAGTGCCTATTTACCATCTGCTCGTCGATAACGGAAAACATCGTCAAGAAACCCGCATGTCTGAGAAATAAGAAAAAAATATTTCGAAGACGTGAAGTTCCCTAACACGCATTGGGGCAGACGGCGGACTTTTCCTTACCTTAAAACCCTCTCAGAAATGAGAAGAGGCCTGTGCCCAGCAGTGGGATGTATATAGGCTGTAACTTTAACTTTCACTTTAACATCATGCTATCTATACACTTACCTATATTTAGCATCACAATATTTGTAATATAAATTGATTTATAGGCTTAATATGCATGGTATTGGCAAAACAGAACCCACAGCTGAAAAAGCCATTTTAAATAATTTACAATAACAACCACACTTTGCAAAAACATTAAAAGCTAAGGGATAATAATGGCTTAGCTTTAGATTTAGCAACCCCAATTATTGGATTTATTTTTTAATGGTAGATTCTTAGTACAACCTGTCGGAAATATCTGCGAACCTGGCTTGATGACGTCATGCAATATGGAGAGATGGCAACGGTACTGGATAGACGATAACGGGCGGAAATATCTGCGAACCTGGCTTGATGACGTCATGCAATATGGAGAGATGGCAACGGTACTGGATAGACGATAACGGGCGGAGGTGCGGGGAAGCGCGAGGGGAAGCGCATTCCAGCGAGGTTCGCAGATACTTCCGACAGGTTATAAACAAAATTTTTTTACAGTATTTATAGCCTCAAATTATCTCTCATACAGAAATAAAACTGAACTCTCAATGCATACACGTAATATACAGTCACACATTCAAAAACTATATACATTTATTACAGTATTTTTAGCTTCAAATTATCTATTATACGACAATAAAGTGGAACTCTTAATTCACACACGTAATTCACAGTCATACATACAAAAACTATATACATTTATTACAGTATCTTTAGCTTCAAATCATCTCTCATACAACAATAAAACTGAAAATAAAGTATTTTATATTAAAAAGTTTATTATGTACCTAAAATTATTTAATGGGTTACTAAGTTCGTACCGCAAGTATTTTTGTGATTGTTTTATTTACAAAAAATTACAATTTACAATATTTCTAATAAAACACATACCTAAACTACAATATTATAAATATAAAATTACAAATTTTATAAACACACTTCAATTACTTACAAAATTATATATAGCAAACTATGTCCCACGCTTACATCAAAGTATTATGAACATTTGTAACATTCGATCTTGGCCGTCAGTCTTTAATAATAATGTCAATGGATAAAAATATTTTCAATAATTTACAAGAATTAGACAATATAGAGATAGCTTGTGCATATCAATGTGATGTAGAAGATTTAAACAAATATTTAAAATTTAGAAATACAGACTTCACAATTGTATCCCAGAATATAAGAAGTATTTATTCAAATTATGAAGATTTTCAACTGACATTAACTTCTCTACAAGTTAATGCAGACATATTAATATTAACAGAATGTAGGATTCAATCTATTAAACCTATTCCATGTCCAGATAACTACCATGTTTATAACACTTATTATCAGGTAAATCAAAATGACGGAGTAATGATTTATATAAAAAAAAATATTTCATCTCATGTTAAAGAAATAAATTTGGTACATGCGTCTTGCATACAAATCCAACTACAAAACTTAGTAATACTGGGCATATATAGGTCACCATCTAATACCAATGCAGAGCAATTCATCAGTTCTCTTAGTGAACATTTGGACTCGTTAAAAAAACATTCATATATTGTAATAACAGGAGATATTAATATAAATATAACACCTAGACTTACAGAACAAACATATGAAATAATGAATAGGTCGAACTACTTAAATATGCTTTCTACGTATGGGCTATTACCGGGACATCATATCCCTACAAGAGAGAACAGCTGCTTGGATCATTTTATACTAAAATTAAATCAACAAACTATTTTTGCTCAGATTGCTGTATTAAATACTACTATCACAGATCATGCTATGATATTACTAAAATTAAGTAATATTAAACAAAACGCAATTAATGTTAAAATTAAATATAACACTGACTTTCATAAAGCACTTGCCAGTCTAGCTCAAAAAAACCTATCGCACCTTCTTTTTAGTGATAATCCAGACTATATCATATATCAATTAATTTATAAAATAAGAGAATCAATTGAAGAAAATACAAAAATAGTAAATATTCCTAGTAAGAAGCGACAAATTAAACCATGGATAACTACAGGTATTTTAAAATGTATACGAAATAGGAATTGTATGCAAAAAAAGCTAAGATCGGATCCTTATAATGAAGTATTAAAAATTACATATAAAAGGTATCGCAATTACATATAAAGTGAACGAGTACTTTGCTAGTGTGGGTAAAAATCTTGCCGAGAACATAAATACTAACAATCCTAATATTTGTTTATCTTATTGCCATATTGATCAAGTACATGAAACTGTATCTGTAAAAGCACATTCTTCCTTTGTAATGATGGAAACCTATCCGGAAGAGATAAATAGTATTATTTCAGGTCTCAAACCAGATTCCGCCCCTGGGTGGGACAATATTTCAATGGGTTTTCTCAAGATGGCTAAACAATTACTTGTCCCCATCTTCTGCCATTTTGCTAATATCTGTTTTGAAAAAGGTGTCTTTCCGAAGCTGTTGAAACGATCTATTGTAATTCCGATTTACAAAAGTGGAGATAAGAAAGAAGCTAGTAATTATCGACCAATCTCTTTGCTACCTGTGTTCTCTAAAATTTTGGAAAAGTTAATTAACAACAGACTTATACAATATCTCTCTAAATTTGACATTCTAGCAGACTCTCAATTTGGCTTTAGAAAGGGATGCTCTACGGAAGATGCAGTTGCTGCGTTGAGCTCTCAAATTGTTAATACCTTAGATAACGGTAAAAAATGTCTTGCTGTCTTCCTGGATTTAAAAAAAGCCTTTGATACTGTATCAATCCCTATACTTATCAATAAATTAGAAAGGATTGGAATCAGAGGTATACCTCTAAAACTATTAAAGGACTATCTCTCTGACAGGATGCAGACGGTAAGAGTAGGTCAATACTCTAGTAGTTATATCAATGTAAATTATGGAGTACCGCAGGGAAGCGTCTTGGGCCCTACGCTATTCTTAGTATATATTAATAATCTATGTAGTATGAGTATGAACAGGGGGAGTTTTCTCATACGCAGATGACACTGCGATGTTGTTTTGGGGAGACACGTGGGAAGAAGTGCAGTTAATAGCGGAAAAACAATTAGCTAAGGTTGCTCGTTGGCTTGACAACAACTTACTCACTTTGAATGTTAGTAAAACTCAATTCATATGTTTTTCTATGACTAGTCGATCACAGCCAAAGGATGATTTTAGAATCAAAATACATAAATGTAACAATCCTTCCAGAGGTAGTAACTGTACGTGTACACCTATTCGAAAAGTTTCATATACAAAGTATCTGGGCGTTATGGTGGATCAGCGACTTTCTTGGTACAGACATGTTGAATTAGTATCTAGTAGAATTCGAAAGCTCACTTGGATATTTAAAACTTTAAGACATGTTGCCACTTTACATCTTTTGTATCAAATATATGTTGCGCTTGCTCAGTCCATTATAATATATTGTATACCAATTTGGGGAGGTACTTACAAAAGTAAATTTATTGAAATTGAGAGAGCTCAGAGATGTCTACTAAAGGTTATGCATTTTAAACCGTACAGGTACTCCACTAGCATTTTGTATTCATCATGTGGGCTGATTTCGGTGAGGCAGTTGTACATATTACACACTTTATTGAAAAAACATAAGTCTTTGACCTTTGATCCTATTTACAGTAGTAAAAGAAGAAATTATAGCGTAGCTCCTATTTGGAGAACGAAAACCACCTTTGCGAAACATCAATATGACAAACAATCAGAACACTTATACAATCAGATTAATAAAATATTGCAAATATATCCATTAAAGACATATGACTGTAAGAAAAAAATAATGCAGTGGCTTAAGACACTTAATTACGATCAAACTGAAGCTTTATTACAATTTATCTTATAACACATTCACTCACTGTCTTTTTTAACACATGCACACATGCACACACAAGCACACGCACGCACACACAAACACACACACACACACACACACGCGCGCACGCGCGCGCGCGCGCACACACTTATACACGAACACACACACACACACACACACACACACACACACACACACACACACACACACACACAGACACACACATACCCTGTTTCTTTTTTGTTGAATGTATTTAGTTAAGGGAGGGCGAGGACCTTCTACCACAAGTATCTTTATACTTAAAAGAAGTCCTCAAACTTGTACTAATTTAAGAATATGTTGGAAACAATAAACTTTCATTTCATTTCATTCATTTCATTTCATTTCATTTCAAACATGTATTAAATACCAAAATAACAAACTGCAGCAATGTGTCTTTGAGATAGTGAAAAATTTACAAAAACATAAATAAGCAAAATGACAAATTTTAAAAGACAAAATGTTTTATTTAACATTTTAATAATTAAATAATTTAGTACAGATATACCTGACTATTCATTGTCAGATACACTTGTTTCAGAGTATCATAAATATTAACCAATACCTTGATATCAAGGTATTGGTTAATATTTATATTTTAAACATCAAACCAAATCCATGAGAAACTACATATCACCCTTTAGTACCAACTGAATACTGACATCCTTGCAGTCCAGCGGAATAATGTAGATATCAATCATTATTAAAATATTAAATAATATAAACTATGTAATATTAAAATATTATATAGATTTAATATCAGGTATTCAAATCTAATACATAGATACAATTTGATATAGGGTATTGTTTGCCCGTGCCTAGTTTGAAGGTGCTCTTACTAACTAGGTAAGATGCATGATTTTTACTTTTTACATGGAGCTTAGCTATTAATTTTTAATGTAATGGATTTTCATGAAGTATTTCTCAAAAACTGTGTTATCACACTTTGATTAGTTCCAAGGGGTTTACCCTCCCCACCAACCCATTTTTACCCCACCCCCTCTTCCCTTTTTCTCTCCACTCTTCAGCATGGTTGTTGTTTCTAAAGTGCTTCTATAAGGGTGAATATACAAAAGTTGAGTAACTCGACATCATCAGTCAAAAGATACAACATTTTATTACATTTTGTTATTATTTAATTTTATTATAAAACAATTAAAAGCTGTTTATTAATTCACCCAATTTCAGGTATTTATTTTAAAAACAAGTTTGTGAAACCACACGAAAAATATTCAAAAGGTCTGTATTTTGGCATGTCACAATCCCAAAAACGCGCATTAAAGTGGCTTTAATTATATATTACCATTAATTTAGGAATACTTAATATTTCACTACAATCTGTAACGTAATTAATAATGTCTAACACAACTTTCATCGTGTAATGCTCTAAGTATTATTTTTTGAAAATTAAAAATCTTTGTGTTCAGTTTCATTCGTCAGTCTGTTGTGCATTGTTCGAATTTGAAATTCTCGCAAAATAACGCCGACTGATGGTCAAATCGTTGTTAAAGTTTGAATGTTAGTAGTGAAGTTACCTGTAGACCCTACCAATTTACAGCCGCCTTTGTTTGCTGTGCCAGTGTTAGGCTGAGATCTATAGACCGTACTTTGACTTAGCTCAGACTTTACTTTTGAGCTAAGACAATGTCGGTATTTATAGAGCTAACTGCGAAGTCATGATGAATGCGCGCTTAACAAAGCCTAACTCAACGATATTGATGACTGACCTACGTAAAACTCAGGATATTATTCAAAACCCCTATTAATTTTAAATTGTTGTTTTTATATTACTCTATTTAATTATAACAAAGAGCAATATAAAAACAACAATAAGTATAATTTAATTATAACAATACAGTTCCAGGTTGTCTGCTAGTTTTAAATAGCATTAATTCATTTTCTATTTACATAATTTCAATCTCATTACAAATTTCTTAAAATCTTTTTTCTGATTTTGCACTCATCCATTCCCATTCTCATACACCCGTTTTCTATTTCATGTAACAATAACTTACTTATGAAATACAATTTAGACAGTTTTGGATTTTAAATATATATATACTTTTTTAATTTTATACAGTAATTTTGATTTTAAATATATATGTTTTTTAATTTGATACAGTAAAGTCAAAAACATAATGTGTGGAATGAATATTTGGACTGTCTGGGCCTTAGCATAAGCTTAGCTTAATCTTAACCCGATACAACTACAAATTCAGAATAAAAGATTATGCTAAGCAAATACTTTTGGCAAGAGGAGTGTAGGTCGGCAAACGAAAAGATGAGTGGATGACATTATTAACACAGCAGGAGAAGAGTGGATGCAAATTGTTAAAAACCATGAAGAATGGTTCAAGTTGGAGGAGGTTTTTACCCAAGAGGGACTACATAAACCAACAAATACTTTCTAATAATTCTATGTATTTATTATTTTTTTTGTTAACTCTGTAAATGTGTAGAGAAATAAAACTTTATTATTATTATTATATCAATTCTTTATATTTCTTCTCTTCTTTGAGAGTTTGAAATACCGCACACATGGGTTGGAACCAAGTGTGTGAAGGGAAATTTAAATTGTAAAAGTGGATGATAAAGTATAAGAAGTCAGAAACTTTTGGGTGATGCGATAGGTGTATTATTATATAACTGAAAAGAAGGAATTATAAAAGGCCCCATGTTGGCAAAATTATGAAAATAAAATTAGAAGAAATCTAAACTAAAATAGAGACTCATGAAGACAAAAAAGTTTAAACAACCTGTATCTGGACACAGAAGAATACAGACGTCATTATGAAATGTATCTATTGCAGACAATTACGAACTATGGAGATTTAAATGAATAGTTATTGTTAATAGTTACTTACGTATTTAAATATTTAAAAGATTTTGCCGTTATTAAACACTGGCTCAGTGTTATTAAATTTCCTATATTTCTTACGAAATTTTGTATTTAATCAGTACTATGTAACCCTCGTCAGTCAAATTCACAAAAATCGAAATATCTCAAAATCTACTTAAAAAAAGTGACTCACCCGATTTAGAACAATATATTCATTACATTACATATCTGTATTAAATACCCAAATTTATAGAAATTTGAATTGAAAAGTATGATAAACAAAATATCCCGGAAAGTTACTCAACTTTTGTATATTCACCCATAATTACAGCTAAGAAATTATTTTTTAAATAGTTTTTTGAATGAGGAAATAAAATATGTGCAAAAATACTTACAAGCAGTTACTCTAAGATTTCTACACTGCCATTGCCAGTCACTTTTTACTTTCATAATTTTTGTTACTGGATCAGTTTCAATTACATGATGCAATTCTGTTATTATTTTTGGATTTAAACTTTTATATGGGAAAGCTTCAAAATAATTAGAAATAAGTTGTCCATCCCAATCCTTACTAAATGCATTCAACGGGTGGCCAGGTACAATAAAGTGGAAGTTTTGCAAACTCTTCTTAGTAGTAAGACGTTGCCGTATATTTTGGCAGTAGAAATTATAAGCCTGTTCATTTTGGAGGCGTAAGTCTTCAAGAATTTTCTTCACTGGAGCTGTGCTATCAATATTATCCGCAGAAAATTCTACTTCTTTTTTCTTTTTCTAAAAATATTGTATTACCTTTGTCGATTACGCGCATAAATTTAGTTTTACGAAACATTTGTAAATAAAATAATAAAAAAACATCTTTATCATTTTTTATTTTTTCCATACCTTTAATTTACCGGGAGTGGCCATAATTCATAAAAGTATTGTGAATTCAAAGTTCATCAGTATAATATACTTGACACTACAAAAAAAGGCAGTGTGTAACAAAAATGTTAGCCTATTGTGGTTTAACCAATGACCAAAGAATGAGAGATTTTAGGCCATTTAGTTTAATATATACAAGGAGTAAGTTTCTAACGAGAAATAGAATAATTTTTTTTACTAATTTTTAATGTATACATAACATAACCTAAAATTAATGTTGTTGTTGTTGTTGTTTTTATTATTCGCTCGAGAGAGCAGGCAAAGGAACTAAGCCATACAGCCTTGACTTTTTTATTTTGAATATATAGAATTTCACTGCTTCACAATATGTTGATGCGTCACATTGTGCAGTCCTTGGGAGATTTTGACGTAAACTTGAACCAGCAAACAGCTGACAGTTGACGATGGTACTAAAGGCGCCTATGCAAACAAACAGCTTATCTTGAGAATCCATCACCATCAGAGCACTTGTTTCACCGTATACACTAATAGATCACATGCGTAGACAGTTAATACATAAAATCGCACCACTTTTACAAATCAAAGTCAATTTTTAAATAAAACTAATTTTACGGATTTTATCGCGTATATTAACTTATTTTTATTTTTATATTCCCGACGTTTCGGGTGCTTTCCAGCACCCGTGGTCACGGGTTCCTGTATAGGACAGTTACTATACTCTTTGCTCACGGGGGACTGAGGTGTTTGACGTCCTGCTGTCATAGTTAGCCCGGCTACCTTCAGTTTTTTAATATTAATTTTTTTTTGGTTCGATTTACGCAGAATGAGCTTACAGTATCTTGAAGTCTGTGTTCACATGTTCATAAACTGCAGACTTCCTGTTCAAGATCGCCCCTGCCATTACATTAGATTTGATAGACCACAAATCCTCGCAAAAGAACATCGATTCCTCCCAAGGATGATTCGCGAGGCTATTGAAATTAAAAAACATCCTAATTTCAATAGAGAAGATGGATGGGTGCTGCCATCTGCTTGGGATCCCATAATTAATAAAATCAAATCCAAACGCAAGTATACCACTGCTAGACTTCAAGATACTGTAAGCTCATTCTGCGTAAATCGAACCAAAAAAAATTAATATTAAAAAACTGAAGGTAGCCGGGCTAACTATGACAGCAGGACGTCAAACAATTCAGTCCCCCGTGACCACGGGTGCTGGAAAGCACCCGCAACGTCGGGAATATAAAAATAAAAATAAGTTAATATACGCGATAAAATCCGTAAAATTAGTTTTATTTAAAAATGTGTAGTGTTCGCGTAAATATAAGAAATCATTATATCAAAGTACACTTCAAACCATTACTTAAACAATAATACAGGATCAGCAAACCACCGCCGGTCAAGTTCCCGCCAAAACTCAAATGACACTAGATTAGATTTGGATCTAAGCATGGAGTACAGAACTAATAAAGGTACTCTGTGAAATCTATACTCCATAGGTTTAAGACCTGTATTTTTTTTTTGAGTTTATGGCCTGGTATCTAGACCTTTAGGCCAAGTCTTAAGTATTTTTATTCGGTTTATTGTAATTTCCTCACTCCTTCATAGTATACTACTTCACAACATGTTGATGTGTCACATTGTGCAGTTCTTGGGAGATTTTGGCGGCAACTTGATCCAGCAGACAGCTGATAGTTGGCGATGGTATCTAAAGGTGCCTATGCAAACAAACAGCTTATCTTGAGAATCCATCACCATCAGAGCACTTGTTTCACTGTTTCCACTAATAGTTCACATGCGTAGACACTTAATACACAAAATCGCAACACTTTTACATATCAAAGTCCACTTCAAACCATTATTTAAACAATAATACAGGAGCAGCAAACCGCCGCCGGTCAATTTCCCGCCAAAACTCCTCTAAGACCTGTATTAGTCTAACAGCGTTGCCAACACCAATTTGTCAAATTCGCCGAAAATCCACGTCAAATTCCCTAATTTAGGGACAAAACTTCAACAAATTCCGAAATGAAACAATTTTCAACTACAGATTTATTAATGATTTCTTATATTTACGCGAAGACTACACATTAAATGAAACTATTTGGTTATATACGGATGTTATCGCTTTCCTTTAATATAAAAAAACTGAAGGTAGCCGGGCTAACTATGACATCGGGACGTCTAACACTTCAGTCCCCCGTGACCATGGGTGTAGAAAAGCATCCGAAACTTCGGGAATTAAAAGATTAAATTAAACGCGATAAAATCCGTAAAAATTTGTTTCATATAAAGATTTCATTTTTAACTAACATTTTTTTTCGTTTTTACTAATTTTTTTTCACACTTCATATTATATTTTTGTAACAAGTATTTTACTCCATAGAGTATTTTTAATTCCTTCCCTTGTTGCCATTAAAAAGTGCCACAGTATCTGGATTTACAGTAGCAGTCACATAATTAAAGACACTCTTCTGTGTGACCACATACAACAGTATTACAGACGTGTAGAGTATCCAAAGTAGGTATTAATTATATTTCATAGTTATTAATCTTTACACGGCGATCGTATTATTAAAATGGAAACATCAAGAACGTGTATTTAGCAATAGTTGAGATTTTATTCCTTTTTTAAACAAAATGAAAACTTTTTCGACAAGTTAACTGATGACCAGCTAATTAAAGACAGTGTGTTTTTCATGTTATAAATTTAAAATATAATGTTAAAACAATTATGTTATTTTTCATTTGGCGCGAATTTTCACGGTACATAGAACAAAAATAAAAATAGCTTTGTACTTAATAGAAATGATTAAATTTTATTAGTGTTAATATGGTAAAAAACAAAAGCTGTGATCCGTCTACAAGGAAGACGATCCTTAAGTTTTATGGCAAAGATTGGTCATATAGGAAGATTGCAGATCTGTTAGGATGCTCTAAAGATATGGTTATGAATGCTATGCGACATTTTAAGAACTTTAATACTATTGAAAATGTGCCCAGGAAGACTAGACCTAGAACAACAACCCCACGAGAAGACTTAAGAATTGTCATCATTATCATCATTACAGCCTTTCATAAGTCCACTGTTGAACACAGGCCTCCCCCAAGGAATGCCACAAAGCACGGCCCTGAGCCACCTGCATCCATCGACTTCCTGCATGTCTTACTAGGTCGTCACTCCATCTAGTGGGGCGTCGCCCTACACTTCACCTACCGGTACGAGGCTGCCATTCGAGAACCTTTCTTCCCCATCGGTTGTCGGTTATTTGAGCTATATGGCCGGCCCACTGCCACTTCAGCTTACTAATCCGTTGGGCTATGTCGGTTACTCCGGTTCTACTGCGGATATCCTCGTTTTTAAGTCTATCACGCAGAGAAACTCCGAGCATAGCCCTCTCCATAGCTCGCTGATCGACCTTGAGCTTCCTCATACGGCCAGCAGTGAAGAACCATGTCTCAGATCCGTAAGTCATCACTAGCAACACGCACTGCTTGTATAATTTCGTTTTAAGGTTTTGAGGTATGTCTAACGTGAAGTGTCTAACGAATGTGTCGTAGTTTCCCGAACGCTGCCCAGCCGAGTTAAATCCGTGGATTGACCTCTCGGTCGAAGTTGGACTTACCTAGTCGGACTATTTGTCCCAGGTAAACATAATCGTCAACAACTTCGAGCTTAGTGCTCCCAACGACTACCATAGGTGTGACATGGACGTTATATTTGTTTTGTCCATGTTCATCTTAAGACCTATCCGTTGGGAGACACTATTGAGGTCATTGAACAATGTGCTTAGGTCCTCCAGCGATTCTGCCATAAAGACTATATCGTCGGCAAATTGAAGGTGAGTGATGTACTTGCCATTGATGTTAATACCATATCTTTCCAGTCCAGAAGCTTGAAAAGGTCTTCCAATGCAGCGGTGAAGAGTTTCGGGGATATATCATCACCCTGTCTTACACCTCTCTGCAATTGGATAGGTTTCGTACTCTGGTTCTGTACTCGGATAGCCATCGTAGCCCTACTGTACAAGCACTTCAGCACTTCGATATACCGACAGTCAACTTGGCACCGCTGAAGGGACTGCAGCACCACCCAAATTTCGACGGAATGAAAGGCTTTCTCATAGTCCACATACACCAGATATAGTGGCAAATAGTACTCCTCGGTCTTCTGTACAATTTGCCGAAGGGTGTGTATGTGGTCCACGGTACTAAAGCCTTTTGGGAAACCGGCTTGTTCGCGAGGCTGGAAGTCGTCAAGTCTGCGTGCGAGACGATTCGTAATGACTCTCGAAAACAGCACGTTGACGCGGCTCAGAAAGGAAATTGGTCTGTAGTTCTTCAAGAGAGCGTTGTCGCCTTTCTTGAAGAACAAGACCACTGCATTTTTGCTCCACGCCTCCGGAGTAGTGCCACCATGGAGGACGGAATTAAGAAGCTTCTGAAGGACTTCAAGTACCGGTTTTCCACCCGCTTTCAAAAGCTCCGCTGTAATTCCATCCTCACCTGGGGCCCTGCCTTTTCAAGGTGCTGGAGAGCCATTCTAATCTCGCTCAGACTGACGTACAGGATATCTTCGGAATAGTGTCAGATAAGACTCGCACTTGGATCGTTACTCACACTTTTGTGTGGCTCCAACGATGACGTGTACAGCTGTCCATAGAACCTCTCAATCTCACTCAAAGTCTCAGGTGTCCCGGAAACGACGCTGCCACACTCTGTCTTCAGCATAGACAGTTGGCTCTTTCTGGCAGACAGATCTCTTTCCATTAACACCGTATAGTGGGTTTTGGAGGAATGCGTGGCTCTAGAAATATCCTCATACATTTCCTCCACCTCCTCATCGGGATGTGCCGAGATTGGTGCGTAAACCTGTATGACCTTCAGCGAATACCGTTTGGTGATTCTGAGTATAAGGTACACAACCCTCGTCGACACACTCTCAATCTTTACAACGTTGTTAACGAGAGATTTGTGGACGATAAATCCGAGACCTTCTTGGGATAGATGGTCGCCCTCCCAGT